TTACCACTGTTGAACTAATACGTATTAAAAACGTTTACGTTTATAGTAAATAGGTTGGTGATTTTATTTTTTTAAACTTTACGTCTAACTTTTCGAGATTCGAGAGAAACATGTACGAAAAAAATTTTTTTCCTCGTACAATTTTTTTCGTAAATCAACTAGCCAAAAATTTGTTTTTCTTCTAATCATTTGATTAAATCAAAACATTTTGTTACGCTATTTATTAAAATTCGTTTTTAATTAAAGCCAACAAACAAATTTAATAATTTTTCTTTTCTTCTTCTTCTCGTTTCTAATCAAAATAATTTGTGTTTGAAGAGGTACTCTATGCAGTTTTTTGTTTAAATTTTTTTTATGTGGTTATTTGCAGTAGCTTAATGTGGGAACCTTGAAGCAACTATTTTTTGAATCATATTACTACCCCAATCAATTTATTAGATTTTATTGACCGTTGCTAACCAAAATATTTCTATTTCTCTAAGTTTAGCAAACCCTTAGTAGCCCTTTATGAAAAATAGTTAATATAATTTATAGTGAAATAATAATTCTGATAACGTTTATTCGAAACATACTTTACATAACAACCAGCGCAAGCAACAAAAAGATAAGAAATAACAACCCGAATAAACGTTCACGTATCACAGAAGCATGAAATGCTATACCGTGATGTATAGGTTGGGCGGTTTATCTTGAGACAATGACTTATCTAAGAAACTATAGGAAATGGAGTCAAAATTTAAATATAAAAGTTATTTGGAGTATTACAAACCAAATTATTCTAATTTTGTATATACAGGGTGTTTCATTTCAAAATTCTAGACATATTTTGTGTACAATGTCCTATACCTAAGTCTAACCGTTTCCGACATTTTTAATTAATTATGCTAAAAATGACTTAAAACGTCTGTCAATTTCTTCACGCATTTATCGTTTTACTTGAGTACGTTTTTTTGAAGACTAGGGACTCGATAACGGATTTCATAAGAAAATTCGATGCATAAAATGAAATTACAAAAACTGCCAGATTTTTTTTTTAAACGGAAACTACCTATTTTTATAATCTTGTCATATTTAGCATCAAAAATTAAGCCAATTTTATATAAAGTTTTGCTTAGTTTTAGTTTTATTTATTTTTTGAAATATTTATTTATAAAAATTTGTCTATTACAAATAATATGCTGTTAGTTTGCCTGGAATTTTACATAGAATTCAAAAATGAAGTGGTATACTAGGTGTTCAATTTAAAATAAGAAGTTTGAGCCTCGCCCACAAAAAATCAAAACCCTGTAAAAACAAAATTAAAATAAATTGAAGGTTTTTAATACCCCAATTAACTTTTGTTCGCAAAATTACACACGCACAAATCACAATAAATTATATTCTTAAAGCAATTACTTTGCTAAATACGTGCCTACCGTTTTATAATATCCAATAAATTGTTTAAATTTCTCTATTTGCCTAATTCTTTCGGCCAAATTTTTGGACATGTGGTTTAAATAGATCTTTGTTTCTAATTGCTTCGGTATGTTAATTCTTTAGTATCGACTATATATAGAATATCTGTTGGAAAAGTTTTATTAAAGTTACTAAATGAACGACTTTTAGAGAGTTTCTAGAAATTATCTGCTTCTGCTTAAGTGTGTCATAAGAATTTTTTTCTGGATATTTAGATAATATTAGTGGAATTTGAAGCAAAATATTTTTTTCCTTTTTCCTACAGGAATTAATTTCGCGCAGTGCGTAAATAAAGTTGTCGTCACGATGAAATAGAAAAGCAGTGGAAGTAGTATTGCATATGGTTTGAATGTTTACTGTTTTTAAAAGAGCAAAAACCATAGCCAACTGTTTTTTTTCCTCGATAAATAAGAAATTAATTTATAATAATACGCTTGATTGCCTTCACCGATAAAAAAAGAAAACCAATGAATCGGTTTCTCGAGGTACAAAGTCATTCTTTGTGAATTTTTCCGATCTGAAATCGATTTGCTGAGATTCGGTGTCCACAGTCTACTTTCTTTTTTTTGTCGATATATTCTGTTTTTTAGTGTATGGTATTGTAAAGTTTTTTTCGTTTTTGAGCAACAAAGACCCAGTAATAATAATAACAGCTTACTGTTTCACAATAGCTATACCATTTTTAAATTTTATAGAGACGCTGCCTGATGCATTGGCCAGCGGTTGCACCAAATGCAACGCCAAACAAAAGGAGACCACAGAGAAAGTCATCAAACACCTCACGACAAAACGCACAAGAGACTGGGAAAGGCTCAGCAAAAAATACGACCCCAAAGGCATTTACAAACAGAAATATGAACAACTGTTGCCCAAGTAGGAGAAATATGGTTACCCATCACAGTTCAAGTTAGCTTTAAAGCCTTTAGTTTAGTTTGAATTCACAAAAATTTCTAACACTGTGTGTGTTGGTTATATACTGAGATTTTAACACAATATAATGAGGCAATTTCGTTTCGAAATGTATTTTAGATAGTAGATTTGACAGTGTAAATAAATGTTTATCAAGTTTTGTTTATATGCATTAACACTTTTGAAGGTACAGTTTACTCCATTTGAAAATATTTCCTTGCTCTGAAACATACCGATTAAAAAAAAAAAATTAATTAATTTTGCTTGTTTCGGTTTGTGCGTTTTTCACGAACTTTTTCCAAAAAAAATATCAGGTATAATATTAAGATAATTAATTAAGTATATAAAAAATTTTATTTATACATTTTTTTCATTCATATGCGGAACGTTAATCGCACTAGAGCAGTAATAAATATTTGGTCAACTGTTCGATATTCAGTCAGTACAAATAATGAGGGAATGTAACATGGAATTAATGATTATGATTTTTTGCCGGGTTTTTGGAGTCCTGCGCCTTCGCCATAAGGTGAATACAATTTATTTCCATTTCATTTACTTAAGACATTTTTGGGATAATTAAAAAAAACCGTCTAAATTTAAAACAATGGTTATAATTGCTTGTGTTCGTCAATTAAGGCAAATGCAGATTACTCAATTATTACGATAGGCACATATTCCTTTTCTCAGGACGTACGACAATTGTAACGCAAAATGTTAATATATGTCTGCCTCTGAACCTTTCTGCACCTTCGAAAATTTCTGTATTTGTTAATGGTTTTCAATAGGAATTTTTGAGTATCATCTAGATTAGACTATCGAAAATATTTGAGAAATTTTTATATCACAAAATTGTTACATTTCTTGACAAACACAAATTATCCCTGATTGTAAGTCAGCACACACTATAGTACCAGCAAAGCCCGCCCTAGTAAACATCTGCAAAAACAGCAGCAACTCGAAGAACAACAAAATAACACATGCTGGATTTTCGTTTATTCTATAAATTCTGTAAATTTAATTAAAGACTCCCTTTGTACCAGACATAGCTGCGTTATGGTGAGTAAACAAAGAGGGACAGAACAATCTGATTTTTAAATTGTTAAAAAAGGTGTGACAGAGAGGTCGTTTTTTTTTAATATGCATATAATGCAAATTAACATCACCATCAAAGTCGTTCAACAAGGAAAAAAGGTAGGCAATATATTTAATAGTTTACTACTATCTTTCGATCATGAGCAGCGTATCTGGTATTAAAATATATAAAAGAGATAAAAAAACCATTTACCTCCAATACAAAAATGTCTTCTATGTGAGAGTTTAATTTTATCCCTTTTTTTATCGTTTCATAAAATTAAAAATGTAAGAGTGTAAAAACAGAATACCTTTATAAAGAAAAGGTAGTGCTTCCTTTGAAAAATTGAACTGAGGTGGCTTTTACTTGACGAAAATCCATTTAACAAAATAAATAAGAACTAAAAGTTGAAATTTTCACGAACTTATATATTTTCACACCACATTAATTAAGGTTTTATTGTCACTTTTCGGTATATATAGTAGCAGGTAGTTTGTAAGTACTACATTTGATCAAGACACGGTGTTGTCGAAACAATTGTCATGTGAAAATATATAATTTCTTGAAAATCTGAACTTTTAGTTCTTATTTATTAAATTTTTTTTGTTATTTTTAGAATTTCTGTATTATCCAGGGTTCGTCATTGTGACCATATATTACAAATTTTATGAGAAACAAAATATATATTGATGTGAAGTTTGGCAATATTGCAATGTTGTCGGTTGTACCTGAAATCAGTGATAACATTGAAATTTCAAATGGAACGTATAGTTTTTGATTTCAGTTTAAAAATAACTTTCACTAATTGTTTCCGCACCTATCTGCCATCTTGTCCGCATAAAACTATCTAACTTTTTTCTTTAGAAAACACGCTTCTATAAAGTGATTTTTTTTTCAAATGCATGCCTACATGTTTTCCAATTCCATTGACTGGATCCGCCAATTATACGTATTCCAATACCTATACCTATATATTTTATAGTTAGTTACCAACGAGACCCTAACAGCTTCCGCCGACTCAGCGGTTCAGCTTTTTATATGTTTTACCGTATATTGTAATGACGTTTTTACAGTCAGTCAGAGTCGCGACACGACGAGTAAAACAGCCACGTAATTAACATTATTTCAAAAATAAAAGTTATCTCTGAAAAGGCGGTGTTTGCAATTCGATAAGCTAACCGGCGCAGTCGGTACGATCTGTTAGGGTCTCGTTGGTAACTAGTTGCTTGCTCTACTTCAAATATTTTTTGTTACTTTGAACAGAAGACGCATTTTTCAGGGTTTGCTCGCATTTTCCCCCTTCTTTGAAGTGTGCATTGTTATCGGGTTTTTAATCGGTAGGAAATCCTTTTAATAAACACCTTCGTAAATGACTGCCATACAGACAAAATAAATGATTTGATTTCATTTACGCCGAAACAAAGAATTAACAATTATTACACAATTTAGGCAACCAGACTCGGACCAAATTGTTTTACTGGTTGCGAAATAAATAGTTCACCAAACACGATCACGGCTTAACATTTGCGATATAATTGCCGTTGCGCAATTTCAAAGCCGCGAATTAAGTCCGAGTGTCCATAAAAATATTACCGGTTTGCATTGGCAAAATCTGAATTACGATGGGACATATTTTAAGTGAAAATGTAATGGTTTATTGTAAATGTATTTACAAACGGGAACATTTTACATACGGGTGTTTAATTTTTAATGTTCTTGGCTTTTGCCAGTGATAACGAGCGTTCGAAATAACGGGGTTAATTCTGAGTCGATGCAGTGCCGTACTTTTTCACTAGATCGTTCCACACGTCGGGGTATTTACTTTGGACGAATCTGGCGACCCTTTTGGCGTTGGCCAGCTGCTTCTTGTCGCACGATTGGCAGTTTTTTCCGATGATTTGAGGAAGAGCGTCTGAAATACAAACGATTTCGCAATAAGGTTCGATCAAGATATTATTCAATTTAAATTTTTCGAAAAATCCCAAAAGTGTGAAGTGACAGTTTTGAAAAAACATTCCGATTCGGTGTTTTTCAAACATTTTTCATTTGAATATCAAATAAATTCGGAAAATGTTAAGCAATAAGAAACATACTTTTTGTCCATAGTCTACAGATGATTAAAAACTTCTCGACTCTCTAGTTAAGAAGTTACTGCAAAATGTAAAGAACACTTAATAATCTTCTCCGCCCTTATGCCTAACCGGAACTAATTTTTAAAAACCAAAATTTTAGTATTTTCTAACACCTATTTCAGGCGATGCAGTTTTACAAAAAAAGTTGTAGGGTTCGAAAGGACTTGTTTTGTATACACGGTGTCCCAATGTTAATCTGCTACTATCATGTATTTTCAAGCGATTTTAGATTCTTGAAAAAAAACTAAGATGATTTTATAATTAGTACTAAGCAAAAGTAACCAAAACTATCAACATTGAAATTTAGATGTACCGTGTATTTTTATGCGATTTTAGATTCTTTAAGAAAAAAAAACTAAGAAGATTTTGTAATTAGTACTTTAGATCTAATCGATGTTGGTCAAACTTTGACTTTTATTGATTGATTGATTTTATATTTTTATTGGTTTATCTTCATTAGCAATGGTATAAATTTATAAATTATGACATGCTTGACAGTTCTGTAGATCTTGCTACTACATCCTCTGCCTCAAGTTCCACGACACTTAGCACAGATTTCTCGAGTCTTTGGAAACATCCGCAAAGTCCAAACAAAGTAAAAAAAACTGAAAATCAGGAAAGAAAAACGTTATCAAAAAAGCAAAATGTTTTTTTATTCCCTGTCGGGATAATGCGTAAATATGTCCATTGACGGGACAATGTCAAACGTCCACAATAAGCCAGTTCTCAAGATTTTCAAATGGAACCCCCACATTTTTATTCAGATATCAATTTTAGGACAAAACATTAGGTAAGTTTGTAATTTATCTTGTATTTAAATTTTACTTTACTTTTACTTACACCCGTATAAATTCTCGTTGAATTTATAGCTGCCCACATTAGGTCACTTGTTGGCAATATTAGGTGTTTTTTTAATATATATATTTAATATATATATATATATATATATATATATATATATATATATATATATATATATATATATATATATATATATATATATATATATATATATATATATATATATATATATATATATATATATATATATATATATATATATATATATATATATATATATATATATATATATATATATATATATATATATATATATATATATATATATATATATATATATATATATATATTTAATATACATTATTTTACATACATACACATTTATATTTTTAATATACATAGCCAACTACAATTTTGATTCTTTTGACACTTCTTTGATCAGTATTTGAAGAGGAACGTTTTTAACTAAACTTTATGGATCGAATTAACAAACTCTTTTTAGCTCACTTCTTGTTTTATAGATTTATTTATTCAAATTTCTTACCTTGTTTAGTTAGCCTATAAACTTTAATTATTTACTTTTGTTATTTGGCAGTTTAATCAAACTATTAAATGTTTCTTTAAATATGAATTCTAAAGATTTATTAAATCTGTTAAAGTGTGTAGTATAGAGATATTTTTTTCATAATTTCCACGTATTAATGGACACCCTGTATCGTTAGCAATATGTTTTATTCGTATATCTGGAGTATTATATTTTCTAAAGAAGTATTATCGTGTCTTTGCTATTTAAACAATACCTAATATTGCCAACAAATGACCTAATGTAAACTTCGAATATCTCAAAAATTAGATAAAATGTAAATATAAGATAATTTACAAACTTGCATTATTTTTTCTCCTAGAATTCGCCAAAACGGCAGCACCTATTTGGGACACCCTGTATAACCTGAGGCCCATCTGTCTGACTGATCATCTCCTTAGTCTGTGGTTAAATTTTCGTTGCAGTAGCGTCACAACAGACCATGCAAAATTCAAATAGGAATTTCTTAAGAAAGTGAGCTTTATTTTAAGCAAGAAACTTTTGTGCATCTCCTATGGGTTTCCAGATCGTATAGTGGGTCGTTTTACTTGGCACACGGTATACGTCACTCATTGGGATATATTGTTAAAAATCTGTGAAGGAAACAAAAACCAAATTGATTCTACCATTTACCAACAGGTGTTAAATATTGCGGTTTAAACATGCAGCACAAGAATATTTAAGCATTTTATAACCAATATCAGTTGCTTTGCATATTTGATAGAGAAAAACCGCAACCATCTCTCTAGAGCAGTGGCAACACGTACAATATATCTTGGAGAATGTTGTAGAATTACCTTTATTAAAAATACAAATAATTCAAGATCGATATAAGCAGGCACCCACGCCATATCATTTTATGGCCTATATGTTGAACCCTCAAAAAATAATTAATAATTTATATTGAAACACTGGACTTTACACACAAAAGGATAAGCCAGAGCTTGCCAAACAGTCAATAATAATAAAACGAACTGTATTTCCATGGTTTTGTACACTCAGATATAAGGAACCGGCTGAGGATTGAAAAATGTGGAAAATTAGGATTTTTCTTCAAACTATAAAACGAAAAAGCAGAAGCACAATGTGTATATCATTACTGTTCGAAATTGGATATAATGGATTCAGTGTCGAGATTGAACAGGATAACTCCATTAAATTTTTGGACTTTACTATTACGAAAACGCAAAATAAATTAGATTTTTCCCTTTACCATGAACCTTCAGACACTGACACAGTCATACGTAACAGCCCAAATCACCTTATACACACAAAATGTCTGCATTTCACTCTTTTATACATAGACTTCCTATTGCGCCACTCTCAACAGAAAATTACAACAAAGAATTTAATATCATTAAACAAATTGCACTGAACAACAGCTACAATCCGTCCATTATCGATAAGATTATAAATAAAAAATAATTCCAGACAACAGTGAACTCTATTTATCCGAAACCTAATTCAGAACACGAACAATTTAAAACAATGAGACACATAGGAGAACCCAGTGAAAAAGTTTCATAACTTTTGTCAAAATGTGGTTTAAAAATTGCTTTCACAACTAACATCACAATAGGAAAATTTTAAAAAAACAATAAAACGTAATGTCAAAAATTTCAAATATCAGGCGTCTACAGGTTCAAATGCGGATCATGTCCTAAAATTTATATTGGACAAACACGTAGATCCTTCAGGAAACGCATTAACGAACATAAAAGAGCGTTTAAAAACAATAATCTAGATTCTAATTATGCTACACACTTAAACACAGAAAAACACATTTTTGACCACAATTTTGATATTTTACATACAGCCGCAAAAATAGAGAATTAAATTTATTGGAAGCAATGGAGATTAATAAAATGAGATCAACGATCAATTAGATTTAAATTGCTCTCCATAATTAAACTTAAATTCTGAAAACAACTTTGATTAAAGTTTTATGGTCATTTTTCGGCATATATAGTAGCAGGTAGTTTGTAAATATTACATTTGATAAAGACACGAAACAATTATCATGTGAAAATATATAATTTCGTGAAAATCTAAACTTTTAGTTCTTATTTGTTTTGTTAAATGGATTTTCATCAAGTAAAAGCCACCTCAGTTCAATCAACTGATACAGTGTCACATATATTATTATTAATATTATACAAGGCGTCCCATTTAAAAACGCAAAACTTTATGTCGTTATCCAAAAGTTAAAGAAATTTTAGAAAATCGCTCTACTTCGTCGGATCTACGTAAAAAATCTCTATAGATGTATTTTTATTTTTTCGATAGCTTAAAAACAGGGAAAAAGGAAAAGGGTTGTAAATACTAATCCTGCTATTGAATTGAATTCATAATACCGTTAATACTATGCCATGCTAAAAAGGGATTGATCTTCTGGGCATCCCCTCAAACAGTGCTTGAGCCACCAAGAATATCAGGACTAACAAAATATATTTGTTTTTATTTTGACCACCAGATGATTTTTTATTGGCAAATCCGCTGTTTAAACAGCGAAACAAATATAAAAACATATGAGCAATGTTCGCGTCAGCTACATTATCCGGGAAAACTGGGATAAGTAAAACATATCAGAATTGTATTCTTTTTTAAATTACATTAACGTATTACATGATCGTATAAAATTCACTATCGAGATTGAACAGGATATCTCTATTAATTTTTTAGACTTAACTATTACGAAAACGCAAAACAAATTAGATTTTTCCATTTACTATAAACCTTCACACAGGGACATAGTAATACATAACAGCTCAAATCACCCTTATACACACAAAATGGCTGCATTTCACTCTTTTATACACAGACTTCTTAATACACCACTCTCTACAGAAAATTTCAACAAAGAACTTAATATCATTAAACAAATTGCACTGAACAAGGGCTACAATCCGTCCATTATCTATAAAATTATATATAAAAAACAAATCCAAAATCTCAAAAATTAGGTGTCTACAGGTTGAAATGCGGATCTTGTCCTAAAATAGATCCTTCAAGAAACGCATTAACGAACATAAAGGGGCGTTTAAAAACAATAGTCCAGTTTCGTATTATGCTACACACTTGAATACAGAAAAACACATTTCAGACGACAATTTTGATATTTTACATACAGCCACAAAAAGTAGAAAACTGAATTTATTGGAAACCATGGAGATTAACAAAATGAAACATTCAAATGTTTAACTTAACGGTCAATTCGATTTAAATACCTCTCCATTATTTAACTTAATTTCTCACAACATTAATTAAGGATTTATTGACATTTTTCGGTATATATAGTAGCAGGTAGTTTGTAAATATTACATTTGATAAACACACGGTGTTGTCGAAACACTTGTCGTGTGAAAATATATAATTTAGAGAAAATCTGAACTTTTAGTTGTTTTTTCCTGCCCATCGAATTAGTATCAAAAATTGCCTTTGGTATTTGTTTGTCGATCTTTTCTTTTTCAGTATTTCTTCAGATCGTTTGCTAGTTGTTATTCCACGAATTAGATATGAAGCACTAACCGTTACGTTAGCCTACTATTTTACTACTTTCTGGTAAATATTCAATGTCGGCATGATTAGTGAATTATGGAAAAGCCTATTTTGAACACTGCAACTTTTGTATCACTTTTTCGTTTGTAGCGTTTAAAATAAATGGAGTTACAGGAAATAAAATACCAAAATCAAGAAATTCGTTTTTCCTGAAATATTTCCTAGTGAGCCCCTGCTAATTTAATTTTAGTAGCTTCAGGTTGCGGCTATACCTATTGTACTGTTAACAATAAGGCGATTATTATTGTTGGCTTTCAGAGTATCTCACGCGAATTGCGGAACGATTGCATAAAGTATCCGGTGACTAACCTCGAACAAATCCAAAATAAAACTTTTCGCTTTCACTGACTCCGCCGCAAGTGGAACTGTGCAAATTACTATTACGGTACTGAAAATATTTTTTTTTTATTTGCACCATTGACGCAGATACCGAAGTGAAAACGACAACTGAAAAATAAAACAAAACAAACCGCAAACATTTTTCATAGTTTTCTTGTTCACTTCATTTTTAGGTTTTGTTTCAGTAGAACAAGGAATAAGTAAATTTAAATAACAATAATTTTATTTTACCATTTTTAGAACGTTCCGTACACTGCTTGGAAGAAGTGTAGACAATGTCAGGAAATAATAAGTAATTTAAAAATTATGTTTAAAAAATAGTGTTTTTCTTAAAATTTCAACATCCGCTGTCAAGGAAAAGAAGCGTTTGTGGTGAAAAAAAAATACGGAAACTTGACCATCTCTGTCTCTGGAAAATATGAAACCACCTACATACATAATTATAATATTTTTTGATTCATTTTTTTTTAATTTTTAAGAAATTTTTAATAAAAGCTAGGAATAGGTATATAAACGTTTATTATCCTGTGAAAAAATATTTTAGGACAAGATAAACATCTTCCAGGCATAGAATAAACCATCTTTTGTAGAGTTTCTACAAAAATTTCCGACCGCTTAACATTGGAGTGCAATCGTCGATCAAAGACACAAAAAAGATTTTGAATGGTCATTTCAGTAGGGTTATATCCTTGTATTGAAATACCAGATGGAGAAAAACATCTCAGACCATTAAGTTCTGTCCTTCATGTTTCACAGTAGCAGTTTGGTTCTTCGTCTCTCCTATATAACATTGCTTATATGTTTTTATATTTGTTTCGCTGTTTAAACAGCGGATTTACCAATAAAAAATCACCTGGTGGCCAAATAAAAACAAATATATTTTGTTAGTCCTGATATTCTTGGTAGCTCAAGCACTGTTTGAGGGGACGCCCAGAAGATCAATCCCCTTTTAGCATGGCATAGTATTAACGGTATTATAAATTCAATTCAATAGCAGGATTAGTATTTACAACCCTTTTCCTTTTTCCGTGTTTTTAAGCTATCGAAAAAATAAAAATACGTCTATAGAGATTTTTTACGTAGATCCGACGAAGTAGAGCGATTTTCTAAAATTTCTTTAACTTCTGGAAAATGGGACGCCTTGTATAATATTAATAATAATATATGTGACCCTGTATCAGTTGATGATGATGAAAATCCATTTAACAAAACAAATAAGAACTAAAAGTTTAGATTTTCACGAAATTATATATTTTCACATGATAATTGTTTCGTGTCTTTATCAAATGTAATATTTAGAAACTACCTGCTACTATATATGCCGAAAAATGACCATAAAACTTTAATTAAAGTTGTTGTGAGAATTTAAGTTTAATTATGGAGAGCAATTTAAATCTAATTGATCGTTGATCTCATTTTATTAATCTCCATGGCTTCCAATAAATTTAATTCTCTATTTTTGCGGCTGTATGTAAAATATCAAAATTGTGGTCAAAAATGTGTTTTTCTGTGTTTAAGTGTGTAGCATAATTAGAATCTGGATTATTGTTTTTAAACGCTCTTTTATGTTCGTTAATGCGTTTCCTGAAGGATCTACGTGTTTGTCCAATATAAATTTTAGGACATGATCCGCATTTCAACCTGTAGACACCTGATATTTGAAATTTTTGACATTACGTTTTATTGTTTTTTAAAAATTTTCCTATTGTGATGTTAGTTCTGAAAGCAATTTTTAAACCACATTTTGACAAAAGTTTTGAAACTTTTTCACTGGGTTCTCCTATGTATCTAATTGTTTTAAATTGTTCGTGTTCTGAATTAGATTTCGGATAAATAGAGTTTACTGTTGTCTGGAATTATTTTTTATTTATAATCTTATCGATAATGGACGGATTGTAGCTGTTGTTCAGTGCAATTTGTTTAATGATATTAAGTTCTTTGTTGTAATTTTCTGTTGAGAGTGGCGCATTAGGAAGTCTATGTATAAAAGAGTGAAATGCAGCCATTTTGTGTGTATAAGGGTGATTTGAGCTGTTATGTATTACTATGTCCCTGTGTGAAGGTTTATAGTAAATGGAAAAATCTAATTTGTTTTGCGTTTTCGTAATAGTTAAGTCTAAAAAATTAATAGAGATATCCTGTTCAATCTCGATAGTGAATTTTATACGATCATGTAATACGTTAATGTAATTTAAAAAAGAATACAATTGTCGGTCCGTTCCAACAAAGCAAGCAAAAACATCATCCATGTATCGATACCACCATAGAAAACTTTTACTTAAAGGAAGTTCTAGTATGATATTTTCCACATTATCCATAAAAATCTAGGCTAACAAAGGACTAAGTAAGTGGGTTTCCCATAATCAAACCTTCTTTAGAGATATAAATCTGTCCATTAAATTCTAAATAATTATGGTCTAAAGATACTATTAAGCAATCTAATAAATCTTGTTTCACCGATGGGTTAACCTGTTTCCGAGTTAGGGTAAAATCTACTAAATCTATCACATCCATAGGTGGAATACTGTTAAATAATCATCAAAAGACAATAGTGTTGCGCTAGAAATTACATAATTAAATACAAAAAATTAGTTACTTTTGAGAACAAACTTCTTGTGTGCTATATTAAATAATATGATAAACAAATACTATAATAAACAATATATTAAAAGTAATACGCGGGAGGAAAGAGAACATAGAAATTGAATAATAGAATTTGAAACGATATTTTTGAAAATTATTGAAACACAGCCTATCAGAAGAGAACTGACCATATTCCACTGGATCCTACGAAAACAACATTAACCGGCGCAGTTTCCGCCTTCTCGATAAACTAACGCATAACCGGGGTGTCTAAAAAGGAAAAGTTTTCAAAATCACACTGTATCTAAAGATCCAGGATATCTGTATCTCTATTTGTTGCATCATTCATTTCATTCGATTACGAAAGCGACAACAAACTACCTGAAACCATAATAAAATGGGACACACTGTAGAGTATCAATTAATCTTTAATGTATATTAATCTAGTTTTAATGAGAATTCTGTTCTGTGGGATATAAAAAAGAAAACAAAAAAAAGTTTAGTTCTCATCTGGCCAGTGACCCATAAAACGTACCTTTGATTTGCCTGCCCAATATATCGCAAGGTCCTTTTTCCAAAGCACATAGCAATTGCTTTTCGACGTAAACGTTTCCGCTAAGGCCCCTCTGGCAGTTACCGTGAGTCGAAAAAATCGCCAGGCACAAGATAACCGATAACCACGTGAGACTTCTCATCTTGTAAAGTTTGGGCACCGACTGAGGGTGTCGCATACCTATGACGATGTTTATACTCAAGAAATTCCTTTCACGTGGTCATAGATGCTGGTTTAAAAGAATTGGGCATTGGTATGGGCGTTTCCGTTTCTCGAGAATAGCCGGGATACTGCCCGGTTTAACCAGTGGCGTTTCCCAGGTTTTAACTGTGTTTCTATAACGGTTTGGTTTTGGGGAAAATGTGTATTTGATTTTGCGAGAACACTTATAACAAAATAATATTATCTTATAGAACAAGTTTGATAAAAGTCGTTTTAGTCACCAGTTGCAGTCGACTAATAAATTGGGCCATGTAGATTGTCGATAAATGACAACATGAATATGATGAAAGGCTGATGAGTAAGCAGTTTTCATTAAAAAAAAATAAATACGTTGTAACTTACAACTTTTAACCGATATTAAACCATAGGAAATCTTTGCAATGATAACATTAATAATATTATTAATAAAGGCAATAATAATAATGATAAAAGTAAAATTTTTAGCTTTTAAAAGTAATTTTGGTCATAATTAAGTAATAACTAATAGTATTTTTTGCAATCTGAAGAATATTTCTCTTCTTTTCTTTTCTATTTTACCACTAGTTTTTGGGCTTTGGAAAAAAACAACACGAATGACGGCGATATCAATCAAATTTTATTTTTTTATTTTATTTTCTTTGTTTGTTTGCAACTCGCGCGAAAAATACCTTGCGATTGTTTTTTTACTAAAATATTATCTTCTAAATTTTCGCAAATACGCCTCTATCATATTACTATCTACATAAAGCATAGAAAACTTTAATTTAATTTACTCTATAATGCTAGTAACCTAACTTAAAAGCTACTCAAGCAGGCGTAAAAAATGTCAAGGCAAGTGTTTAAAAACTTTTGTAAATTGCTTTATTCGTTATTTATTATGTGCTATCTATTGTCAGGATTATTAATAAAAATGTTTTGGCGATCTAAATGTATACAGATTTTAATTTCGCACAGTCATACAGGTTGATGGTTCGCATTTTTCAGAATATTCAAATGTTAAACGAGGCCCACTGAGAAAATATTAAATAATAAATATACAATTCAATATTTTGCTTCGCGTTGGAGATTTCGGAAATTTCATGTCAAACTTCGCATTTTTCGTTTTATTCACGTCAATCAGATTTAACATTCAGTTTAATACGTTAGATTACAATTACAAGGAACGTGATGAAAATAAAAGACTACAGTATTGTTGTGGGAACAAATGCTGGGATCAGTGCAAAGACTAACTAGACTAACTAACAGAACTAATGAAACCTCCCACTTTTCCGATAGAAATAGACAGAGATGTTGTTTAATTTACAGTCGGTCAAAAAAGTCTGCGTACACATAATATAGGTTCGGTTTTTGTTAGTAAGTTAGTTATAGACTTTTTTGACATTGTTTCTGGCTTCTAAAACTGCATTATTTTTTAACGTTCAAATAAAGTGTCTCAAATGATTTTTATTTTATTTTTATTACTCTTAATTACTCTTGCCGATATTTGCTAAAAGAAAACTGAAAAAAATGCTACGTGTACGGAGACTTTTTTGACCGACTGTATATTCTAAAGTAATTTTTTACAACGCTCTTCAACGTAATCCGGTTTTAAGAGGAAATTTCAGAAAAAAAAAGCGGTTTAGGTATAGAGATATGAAAGGAATTTAATTTGCTTTAAGAATATGTAAAATTCATTTTTGGTACCAACTTTGTATCTAGTTCTTATATTAAAAAACAATGTGCAGCACCTCCCTAATACTTTAACTTTCTACTAGTTGCAGTGTCGTAGAAATAAAAATTTAATGAAAGCTACGTTTTGGTGGAATAATAAAGAAAATCACTGTGACTGCGCATTAGACGCGACAAGCAAATTAAAGTTGTTAGATATGAACGGCATAATTATTTGATAATTGCTGTTAAACCATTGAGAGGTCAATTGTCAAGAAAATGGAGGATCTGGACAATTTATGTGTGCCTATAATTTAACACCTGACCTATATTTTGTTTCTTCTAAATTGCCTGGAATTTTTGTCACATTAAATGAGGTTCCTTTTATGTAACTTACAAACTGAAAAAAATGTAAATTGAAATTATAAATGCGATTTTTGAATTGTATATGAAGAGTTTTAAATAATAAAATAGTATTTTTCTTTGATATAGTTGTTCAAGCACACCAATGTCAAGATTTTTGAATCAACATTTAATTACCATGGTTATAATTAAACATTTTTTTTCGTTTCATATTTTTCCTACACATTTTCGTCGTTTCGGGTATTCCTTGTCAACGTTCTATTTATAATACGCGACTACCGTTGCCTGTAATTCAATCTACACCACCACAGTGGTCCTTAATAGTCAAACTACCGACACAAAGCGAACTAGCGATTGCCATTGGCCGAAAGAAATTGATCGCTGTTTTATGCGTGTATGGCCTATTCTTCCACGAACTACGTTGTTACATCGATAGTTTGCAACTAACCAGGTGCAAGTCGCCTTGATTTTTCAGTTTCCTTTTCTATTCCAACGAGCTGGACTTTGCCGATAATTTTATTCATTTAAGACACACCTTTAGTCGATTACAATTTCGATTCGAACGCTGCAGCTTGAAGTTTATTTATTTACCTTTGTTCGGTTGTTGTGAAAAATGTCGGTGTCCCCGTCGAATACCGGTCGAAACGTAAGTGGCATCGTAAATTAACAATATTTTACGTTGTTTCACCCCCTAAGAATAACAAAAATTAATCTTGCCTCGGTATATTAATTAATTTAAAAAAAAAGCCGCGCAATTCCATTATTATTCAATTGAACGCAATTTATTTGTCAAATTTTGTGATTTTTCTCATGGTTTTCTTGGTAACGTTTTTGCATTTTTTGAGTCGCTTTATGTCGCTTTAAAAAAAAATTATTTCTGGTGTATTTACTGATTGATTTGTAAAAAAATAATAATAATAAATGACCATAAATAAATTTCCTATTATAATTTTTCTTCCCATCAAATTCTTAAAATTTATTTAGCATTGGTTAGGCAAAAGGTGGTTTCAATTTGGCAGAATTTATTATTGAAAATTAAATAAAAATAACAGGCCTGGGGATTGTTGGTTAAATATTTGTAAGCATATGTTTATAACATTTCGTATATCCGCATTGGAGATGGGTGCTTCCAATATTTCTTAAAAATGTAAAAAAAAATTAAACTAACTTTTATGATCAAAGATTGGTTAGTCTGGATGGGTAGTTTTGTTAGTTGGTAATGTTCATAAAAAACATAAAACGTTTCAAATTCATTTTCTTTTAAATAACGGGTTAACTATTTCAATTGATAAAAAATTTAAATGAAAAAAAAAAGACCCAATCAATGTCAGATCTAATGTAACGAAGGGAAGGATGTACACGGATTAACAAACAGCAATTATACAATTAGCAAGCGGGATATTGTAAAACAATCGAGAGTGGGATTTAAAATAACGACAAAGCCAGATATATCACCATCGCATAGATTAAAAATGTAGATATCAAAACGGGGGAACGATAAGTTATCGGTGACTGCTTCCTAATCCTTTGTTACTGTTTCGTATTTATAATATTTTGCGCTTCTGTTTGCGATAATGCGACTAAAGTTTTTAGAAAAGAATAATTATGTGTCTATGTTCGAAGAAATCTGTGACGCACGACGCTGATGGAAACGTAGTGTCTGAAATATTGAGAGTTAGTATGCTGTGAATCTTTTTCGTTTTTCGTGAACTCGGTCGAAACTGGAACGGTGGTAGAAAAGTGAGGCAAATTTTACAATAGGAAAAAAAACAGCTGTTTTGGGGATTCTTCTCTTTCTCTTGCACGTTCATATAAATGTTGTTCAACTTGTATTGGTACAAAAGTATTGTGATAACGATAATAAATTTATATTACACAAACAAGACCGAAAATGGTCATAATATATCATAACCTCTTAGCAGTACAATGAAGGATAAAAAAATGTAAAAATATATATCAAAAAATCTCTTGTTTTACATATCTATAGTCTAAGGGCGAGTAAGTCTTGAATATTTCTGAATAAAACTATTCAATAACGTCACAGAGGGCACACCAACTGGGTTTCTATGGAAGATGTCATTTTTAAAATGTTTTTGAAATATTGAACCCTTCTCTTATATGTTTTAATGTTTTTCGATGCGTTGTTAAATTTACGTAGTTTTTTAGCTCGTAGAGCATACAAAAAAGTGTGTCGCAGTTTAGTTTAGTTTCCTTCTAACAGAGTATACTATTTACAAATCTTCTGGGTTCCTCCTGAAACTGTTCAGTTAAGCTCTTAAAGATGATTGACGGAACGGTAGCCAGTTTGGCTTATACACAACCGATGCAGGAGGAATCCAGAAGATTTGTAAATTGTATTGTAGTATGGCTGGATAGAAGCATTCGCTACTTTTCTGTAGCACCATATCGTTTGCCATGTTGTACAGAAAAACTGCAAAAAGTTGTAGAATCTTGACCGATATCAGTAATTAATTAATTGATTAATTAATAATTAATGTTTTGCCAAGGCTAAGTTCTAAAACTAACCAAAACTACGGCAATACAGGGAAACCTATAGGAGATACGAAAAAAAGCTTCCTACAAAAATTTCTTGGACTCTGAAGATTTAAATTATCATAATTTTGTTCATACCGGATGTCTCAAAAGTGTCCAGCTCGACATCAACTTCATTTTAAATGGAACACCCTGTATATTTCGGCATTTTTCGAATCCTTGTTTAAAATAAAGATCATTTTCTTAAGAAACTCCTATTCAAATTTTGCATAGTTTAGGCAGAAATTGAGGGTATGTGTTTTTTTTTTCATATTTTGATTGCCCCATATAAAATTGTGTTGCGACGCCATTGATCCAGGTATTGCAACGAAAATTTAACCACAAACTAAGCAAGATAGCGCGCCCTATCGTTCAGGTCATAAGAGTAAATTTCTAAAATGTAATGGGTAAAAATGGTGACATTGCGTGTCCGATTTTACACCTATGGACTTTTTTTCATCATGCGTATAAATCGCGAAATAACTATACAGCTGATGATCTTAATGAAAAAATTAGACAAGAGATTCTTCTTAAATAATAGTGATGCGGTTACAAATGCGGTGTCCAGCATTATGATGTGCTATACGATGTGTATTGCAGAGGATGGACAATATGTTGAAAATATATTAGAGTCTTGTTGATTGATTGAGTAATCCATCATCTCCTTAGCGTTGCAATGGTTGGAGCAGTAGCGTGATAACACAATTTTATATGGGACAATTAAAACATAAAAAAAAACACATAACCTCAATTTCTGTCTAAACTTTGCAAAATTTGAATAGGGATTTGTTAAGAAAGTGACCTTTATTTTAACCAAGGATTCAAAAAAATGTCGAAATACAATATTATAAATCTTCAGGAGAGTCCAGGAAACTTTTGTACGAAACTTTTTTTCGTATTTCCTATCCTATAGTGGGTCGTTTTATTTGGCACACGGTATACAAAACTTACACCAATTATGCTGATTAATATTGTATTATCTGCATCTAAAAGATAATGTCACTATTTTCTAGTGCTTTTTATAACTATTCATCACCAGAGAAGTATTACAATCGCTGTAAATAAAAGATCGATTTCCACCACATTACCATTATCATTCCCGTTTAGATCAAGTTCCTTCCATCGGATAGCAACTGTACTACTTTCCTTTTCTTCGAATACAATTAAACTCGGCTACTTTGATTTGTTTCTAGAAAACTTTAGACGTCAACAAATATGCGACCAAGAAAACGATAGCCCAAGGGTTGCTAGATGTGGCGTTACTCACGGCCAACGCGTCTCAACTGAAGTACGTGTTACAAGTCGGAGAAAAACACGAATTTTACACACTGATGTTAACGCTGATCACAATTTCGATTATCCTTCAGGTGGGTAACGATAATGTTCCGCTTTTTTGCTTTAAAAATAAGCAAGAATTACCACGCAGGTCGTAATCCGGAATGATTTTAAATGTAATACATTTTTGGAATCCATACCGTATACAAAAATCAATTTTGCACGGGTGTTGATTGTAATGAGGCCATTTTGAAACAATGATTGTTTTTGGACAAATTTGTGAAGGATTTTCGCTTTAAAAATTACAATTACTTTCAATTGCGCCTGTTTTTGCTTTGGTCGTGAGTAAAAAGCTGAAAAAAATGCACACCGAAATCCCCAATATACAGGGTGTTTTCTAATACAAAGTCAACAATAGAAACATATGTCCTAGACGTCTCAACCCACGTACAGATAAGATATACTATGTATCGAGAGACATTATTTAATGGACCACTTTTTTTTTTAATACTTCAGTGGCGGGCGTATAGAATTTCACATGTATATTTTGGCAGACATTGATGGTACGCCATTGATGTCTCATAAAATAAAAAAAAATGTTTACTATCTCCAATCACTTTCGCTTTTTAAAGAAAATCAATGGCGTGCCACTGACTGTGTATGAACAAACTGGTTAAATCGAAAACTTTTTTTGTGAAAAATAAAATATATATCTAAAACAAAATATCTAGTGTTCCTTTTAATTTCACAGTTTTATTGAAATTATTTCTATTAAAAAAAAACACCACCTGATTTGAGTAATTTTTAACAAAATAAAAAACACCGTCTGTGTTTCTTATTAAATCGCAGGAAGCTCTTATACGATCCTTCAGCTCTTCTACAGTGCTAACTGTGGTTGCGATAAACTAGACTTTTAATATGCCACGAGAAAAAGTCTAAACTACTTAAATCAGGGGACCTAGGAGGCCATGGTTGAGATCCGCCGCGAGCTACCCATAGAATATTAAATGTCTGATTAAAATATTCTCTTACGGCAGTGAGTAGGCGCGATTAACCATTTAGCCTTTCTGGCATGAAGTAAATAATTTCCAACAATTCCAGGCCGAATATTTACCGAAAACTGGTCTTGATGTTTAAATATTATAATTGCATGGGGGTTTTCATCGGCCCAAATATGATTTGAGGCGGAAATTTCTGGCATGGAAATTGGTGGAAATGGATGAAGTAGGTAATACATTTTTTTTTAAATATTTCACCACTCTGTATCTCAAAAGTTAACAAGTTTAGGACCTATGTTTATATGAAGTTTTCTTAATTATTGACATTTAATTAGAAAACACCCCCTATGTGCATGGAAATGACAAAAAAATCCAAGATCTTTGACATATGTCTATGGTAAAATGCATTAAAAATAAGGCTTTCCAAAATAAAATAGTATTTACAAGCCCAAATAAAGAAAATACAGTCATTGCTATCAATTCTCTAGAATATATTGCAAAAGTCATACATTACTTTTGTTATTTGGCCTCATGGTCAAGAAAGCCTAGTAGATTTTCTTAGACATTTTAACTCTATACACCCTAACATACGTTTTATAATTGAGTTGGAAACTAATAATAACCTCCCATTCTTAGATATTCTTATCAATAGAAAATCAAACCCAACATTGGATCATTGTGTTTACAGAAAACCTACGCGCACAGACCGACACCTGGCCCAAAAATCATCGGTTATCAACTCTCTTGTTTACAGAACCGCAAAACTATCTCAGCCTGAGTCACTGAACCCAGAATTAAAACACCTTACCTCTGCTCTTCTCCTCTAATAATTTTCACATTAAAGATATTAAGCGTTCGATCAAAAAATACACTTCACCACAACCTTCCAGTAGCAATGAGGCCAAAGGCAATCCTACACTTGCCACTGTGGTCCTTCCTTACATTCAAAATATCACTGACTACATATTAACAGTTGTCAAGAATTATAAAGTCAAAACCAGATTTACCACTTGTCCAAAAATCTCTCAACAACTTCGGTCCGTCAAAGATAAAATTCCATTCCAGGAGTTTACTGCATTCCATGAATGTGCGGCAAAGAATACATTGCAGAGACCGGACGAAAAGTATGAACTATGCTGCTCAAAGAACACGAGAGCCTTAAGACCAAGACAAATAAACTCATCAGCTGTTGCCGCACACAATCACGAAACCGGACATAACATTTTATTCGATAAAACTAAAACTCTTGTCTATAGGAATCTATAAACAACCTAACAATCTTAACCGCGACTCAGGCCTCTACCTGCCACCAAGAAGCCAACAGGATGATTGGCGAAACGTCAGCAAGGTCGACTCAGCAAAAACCGTCGCAGGAGGAATCCAGAAGTTTTGTAAAAAATATTACAGTAGCCTGTGGAAGTTTCTTTGAAAAATTAAAAGCCAAACGGTTTCTTAAGTCAGACATATTAAAAAGTATGCAATATGATCCCACCGAGTTATAACAAAGACAAATCAAAACCGTAATTGCAAATTCATCAATTTTTAATGACAGTGAAAAATACCAACTAACAATTATAAATCTTCATAATCATATTGTTTAATTAAATTACACAAACGTTATATGCCAATTAGGTTTGTAGTTTCTTTCGCAACAGCACCATCATATTTCATGTTGCCTTTAAACCTATGTTACTACAAAATCTACTTCCTAGCATCAAACGATTGACGTGATAAACATAAAACATAATATTTTCACTCAGTCATCCCTATCATAAAGGAAGACCTGATAAGTAGATGGTTTAGCAGTCTAAAATTTAATGGTCAATTTTATATTGCTAAAGAAGGATTAATTATGCGAAAAATTTACTGAAGTCCCTCAGTGGCAACGAAAGGAGGTGCGGTAGAGAAAAAAAGGGAAGAAGCCTACTTATTTTTAAAGAAACTGTAACAATAAAATATCCAAAGACCAGTTCAGCATTTTCATCAACTGTCACACCTTCCTCAACTTTTCTTAAAACACTGTAGTCAACTGATACTCAAGTACCAACAACATTTCACTATGACATTATCATTTTTTGTATAAAATAGTTCATTTTGTTTATTTTAAATGTTGAAAGATTTGCACAGATAGCATCACACACCTCTTTTTGAAATTTTACACATTAATCATTCCAAATCAGTATTACTCATACTATATATATATATATATATATATATATATATATATAGATATAGCTACTCCAAAAAAAGAAATACTTTTTATTTTTTGACAAATGCTACTATTTTGTTAATGTATATTGAATTAAGTTTCTAATTTATCTATACTTTTGAAAACATGAAAATACTATTCTGTGTATCATCATTTTTAAATTGAAACATTTGGTGCGTAGCATACGAAGTAATTAATTACCTAAAATTAAATTAAATAAATACAAATTTGTCCAAGAAATCATTATGTGAAAAAGTTTGATCAACTATTGCGCGAGGCGGTATCATCAATGGCCCAGATGTATCGGTATTACCTATCCTACACGGTTGTTGATCAAACGATACTTTATTCTTTCAATTGAAGACCTCGGTGACTCTGATATTAAAAATTATTTGCAAAGTCTAAGAAATAATTTGCGTTTGTGAAAAAATTATTATAATAAAAATAGTCTGATACTATTTGCAAATCTTCTGGATTCGTGCTCAAAGAACGCGAAAAAGTCTTAACTATGGGTATATCTATTTTCAATGGTTTTTGAGTTATAAGCAAAAACGAAAATATTACAATTAAAGCGAATTAAAGTAATCTCATTCCATATGGGTAGGAGGCTCTGGCCGGCTGTGGTGACGTTTCCTGTAAAAAAAGTATGTGACTTTTTCATAGTTAAAAGTTGAATTGACTTCGAGAAAGCAAGATGGCACATAATAATGCAAACGCAGATATTATGAATTTGTTTCACATTTATGGCGGGTGTCAAAGAATGGTTTCAAGAACGTGCAGATTGGGGAAGCAAAAGTCTGCAAGAGATGCGAAGACTAGGATTTTTAAAAGGTTTTTTTAACAAAAATAACGCGCAGTTTGCCTTCTTTGCAATATTTGATACATGTACAGACCACGCCGTATCATTAGTTACGGTCAGACCTAAGTCCATCTGAGAATCGACACTTAACACAAAGTTTCCATTGATATAATAGTTCAAACTGGGATTGTTCTTCCCAATATGCAGCAGAGAGCACTTTTGAGCATGCAGCGGCAATAGCCAAGTTGAACACCACTTGGAAATAAGTCTCTTTGCAATACGTCCGCATGTGTTGAACTATTTTCAGATAATTTAGTGTCATTAGCATAAGCGCTCACATGAGAATCAATGCTGGAGAGCAAATCCACGGTATACACTAAGAATAGCACTGGTCCTAGCACCGATCCCTGGGGAACACCACTAGGCACATTTTGTGGCAGTGAAAAAGCGTTACCAATTCGAACTTTCACTTTGTCGAAAGCTTGCTGTAGCCTAGGTTAATATATCCACCGGGTCACCTGAGTAAAGAGATAATGTCCATTGATTCAAGCATGTCAGTGTATTTGATATGACTAATCTGCCGGTGACAAAACTGGCAGTCGATCAAAAACGGTAACAGCCGATTTACTATAATGCGTTCAAGAACTTTACATATAATACACACTAGGCTGAAAGGGCGGTAATTTGAGACATCAAGCTTATCACCCTTTTTTATAAATCGGTGTTACATTTGCGGATAACCACTGGGTCGGGAGCGTGGCAGAGTTCAAAGGTTTTCTTAAAATAATATAAATAAGCTCTGCACAGCTAACCAAGGTTTTCCAGAATTGAACTTAACAAAATGAGTAATGTAATAATCCAGAGTAGACAGAAAATATGTCCCCGGGATTTTCTTAAAATAGTCCTGCCATCTGGCGAGTAACGTTTTTATAGGGACGTTTGTCATTTTGAAGTTAGCTTTACTGAATTAGGTTATGGTTTTGTTGTTTGTGCAACTTTAGACAATGCATCGATGAACTTAATTCGACTTTTGGAACCACCTAGGACTACTGTTCATCGCTGGTTTTCGGACTTCAGTCGTAGTCGTGGTTTTCTTAACGATGAATTTCGTGAAGGTCGTCCAAAATCGATGGTTGTCCAAGAAAACATTGATGCAGTGGGGAAACTGATTTTGCAGGATCGTCATGTGACTTACCATGAGATTGAGGTACCTTTGGGCACAATTTGATAAAAAAAGGTTCGTGTTGATTGGCCGAAGGAAATGCTAAAAAGTACGATCGCGGTGCTTCTTTGGTGAAAGGCAAACACAACACAACAAAATACACAACCATTTGTTTGTCGAAAGTCTTCGAAGAAATTAGAAAAACCAACAGCCGAAGACGAATCACTCTCCACGACGACAATGCTAGCTGTCACCGATCAGTGCAAACAAATAAGTTTTTGAGCATTAAAAACGCTGATTTGATGAGCCAGCCACCATATAGTCCCGTTTTAGCACCTAAAACGAAGAAGTGATTAATGCGTTTAAAAATCATGTTTTGGAGGTGCCCGACTCGATGTGGGAAAAGTGCTTTGATGATTGATTTTATCGAATGCAAAAGTGCATTGATCATCATAGTGAATATTTTGAGAAACAATAAAGTCATATTTGTTGATAGCTTATAGTTTTTTATTACAAATCGCGAAATATAAAAACTAGCCCTCGTATTACACCAGTTGATGCCTACCTTCGGGGCACTATTAAAAAAAAAGTCTATTAAACTCCAGTTGGAAAAATAGAAGATTTGGAATGCCGTGTCAGACTCGCTTTTTAACAACTTGATCCAAACGAAATCAAATGCCAACAGTTTCCAAAGTCATGAAGTCAGTCCATGGATATCTTAGAACAAATGGAGGCAATTTCAAGCATAATATCTAGTTGTAAAAAAAACTTTTTAGCTTTTAGCTTTAGCTTTGTATATAAGAGTTCAACTCAAATAGTACAAGATAGAGGGGAATGCTCCCATTAGTGGCGATTTAAAAAAGCGTAAACGAGTTTCAACGCCTCTAGTGACCAGTCATGAAAACGGAAAACGCGCGGGACGTACGGTTCAATCCAAATTTTAAGTTTGAAGTACTTTAGTACTTGGACACAAATAATAGATGGCATTCGTAACAGCATACGCGACCTGGCCCTCTATCTTATACTTTTTGTTACAATTACTCATTTGAACACGATTATATTAAGCTGACTTATGTCAAAGACAAATTTGATTGCAAAAAACGTCACGATGGCCGGCCAGAGCCTGCTACCCAGATGAAATGTGATTACTTTGATTCGCTTCAATTGCAATATAGATAGACATACCATAGTTTGGTATTTTTAGATGGAAAATTAATCGCTCACTTACGTCCCAATTAAATTCCCACTTAACATGAATTTTTATATTTTGCCAATTGGGCCTTATCTTATGAACGCTGTATGCTATATCTCCGAAAATCTTCGAGATAGGTATGGTGCATGTTACATAAAAAAGTTCGAGAATGTTTCCCAGAATCTAAAAATGTTATAATAGATGGGGTGTTCCATTTAAAAAACGAAGGTTGATATACGTATCGGGTATATATCTGGCAACGCCGCATGGCCAAAAATATTTTACGTAGATAGCTCACATTCGCTTACGAAAGTAAGCAACATTTCAACAAGTTTGATTTATAAGCAACCGATGCAGGAAGAGTCCAGAAGTTTTGCGAATACATTAGACACTACCAAAATTCGAAAACAGTATAAATGTCATTGGAATTTTATCAGGAGAAAGTTGCTGATGTTTTCGCGCCCTCATCTTTGAAATTGTGTTTGTTTTGTTAAAGGTTTCGGTAGGACTTATGCTGTTAAGTCTTCACCTGTTAAACGACTGGAAACTCAACTGGGAAAACATACATTCCACCACAGAATTCGTGAACTATCTGACAACACTTTTTGCCTTTGTCATTACCGTTTTGAATCTGATCATTTCGTGCTTCGATCCGACCATCGCACGTTACGCCATTTTCGAACCTCCCGATTTGACGGCGCTGAACTAAGTTTTGAATTTCTGTACAGCGCGTTTTTTGGTTGCTCAGAGGACAACGGTCGCTTAAAATTTTCTGCTTAAAATTGACACAAGAATCACGACTGAGAATTTTCATTTTGATTTTTATAGATATATAGAGGGCGTCCCGATAGATGTTGCTATCTTGGCGTCGGCTGCAGAGAAAAAAATTAGGTACAAAACAACATAATATTTCGAAAGCCCTTGCAATTATAATAATTATTCTCTTAGATATGATAAAATATCGGAAAAACTATTACGTTTAGGTATGAATTATTATTATATTAATTTAAATGATTTTAAAAATTAAAAGAAATAAGTAAAAAAAAAAGATTTAATTAAATTTGAATGAAGCGTAGAATATGAATCCTGGGAAACCACCTTCTGATCATTCGAGATATCCTGTATCTTCTACCGCCCACTAACGCTAATAATCTAGAAAAACATATTTTCTCCTTTTAATTTGAATTTAATTTCCTTTTTTTTTCTAAAGTGCAGCAATTGTTCTCAGAATTGCTTAGTGCTAGAGAGTAATCAAATTATATGGATTTTTTTTATCATTTCTAATTGAATGTCAATAATTAAGAAAACTTCATATAAACACATGTCCTTAACGTCTTAACTTTTGAGATACGCAGTGGCAAAGTTTTCAAAAATGAAATGTATTTGTAATACCACTTTAGATATTTTAATCAAATTTGACACACATGTGCTACGTATCAAGGGGCATTATTTAGTGTACCATAACTTTTTAAAAATACAACAGCGGCGGGCGTAAGGAATTTCACCTATCTATTTTCTCAGACATTCATGGTACGCCACTGATATCTCTTAAATTAAAATTAATTACTACAGTCTCCAGTCATTTGCAAACAAATTTAATTTCTTGATTTTTTCCAAGCCAATGAACGGTTTTGAAATATTAATTTTTCCAAGATCATGCGAATACATACTGATAGGAACAGCATGAAAATACATAAATTGTAATGAACATTATCATATAAAAAAAATCTACTATTTACAATACACACCATTTGTAAATTTTTGTCATCATGTCCCTAACAGTTTCTTCCTTACTTTGTTTCTGTTTGATGACGTGATAGAGGTCACATATTGTTTGTAAGGTATGTGAAGAAAGTTTAAGACATTAGAATATTGGAACTAGGCGATCCCATGATATGGAAAGAGCCAACATATCATCATGATGACTGCTATTTCTGCATGTGCAATGTTCGTGGATATAATACTAAACATTAAAAAAAAAATTGTTTATCAGAACTTGAAGTTTGAATGTCTAAATATCTGAGAATCCAGCCAATTTAGAAAAAGATACAACCAGTTTTTCTGCACTTGAAATAGATAAAGATACCCTTGGTGATGTTGGTGATATATGGAATGTTATAGTTATTACATTTAAAATTACGTAACATGTAACATACTTATTCAGGAGATACTGCCTACATTCCCAGTATATCTCCGTTGAGATGCATTTAAATCCAATTGGTCATTAAGTAATAAATTCGAATATTTCATTTCATAGCTTCCAAAAAACTTAGTTTTTTGCTTTATGAATAATTATGTAAAATATCAAAATTATCGTCAATACCTTTTACAAATCTGGATTCCTCCTGCGTCGAACTTGCTGACGTTTCGCCCATCGTCCTGTTGGCTTCTTCAGAGCTTGAGTTTTATATATTTTGGATTCGGTGTTTAATTTGGGATAGATAGCGTTCATTGTTAAAAGCTATTTGTCTTATAATTTTCAATTCTTTTTCAAAATTTTCTGTAGAAACTGCTGTCATTAAAAACTGTGAAAATCTGAACATTTTTGTTCTAATTTAATTTTGCCTTAATTGCCCTTAAACGTCTAACTCAACATTTTCATTTTTATAACCAACCATTGAATTTTCTTGAAATGTTTTAAAATTTTTCTGCAAAAGGCTAATTTTTAACGCATTGTTTTTCTTTTCAGTTAGTGGTGGCTATTATGTTCGTTATAATCGGCGGCCTAAACATAAACAAAAATCGGGATCATCGGGCGGCTGTCATTTTAAATGACGTGATTTTGATTTTTATTTTCCTCATCTCCGTGATCAACATTATAATATCCGGGTTCGGTTTCGAATATTCTAACCATCCCCTAAAATTAATATCCGATAACGATTTGTCGTCCAAAATTTAATTAACAATAACCAAAGATGTAGACTTTTTTTCCCATTATAGGCAAGAGAATAATGCGGAATCTTAAGGTGTCTTTATGTTGTCTAATTTCCCATTAACTTTGACTTTGAATTGTATATAACTATGATGAACTCAAAATACAGGATCTACGTAGTTTCAAAAACTCATAACATAATTAAGTAATTTGTTAAGCGCAAAACTCTGAATATTTTTTTATATTTGTAAACTTATTTGACAGTCGTCATAAACCCTTTGTTATTATTTAGAGGTTGGCCTCCACACTCAAGAAACTTTTCAGCGGAGGACAAAACGCAGAAGGAACATAACATAACCAATAAGCAATTTCAAATTTCATTTTGTTTTCATTAATTTTATAAATCTAATCGAAAATCAAATCATAATCGAACAGTCTAAACAAACTTTTAAAAAATTTCGAAAAATAAAAAACACGTTATAACATGTGTAAAGATTGTTTGGTAATTAAAATAGTAAAAGTTCGTGCAAGGTGACAAAAAAGTAAGAAGAAAAGAATATCTATGTAGTTGACAGGTGTGGATATTCATGAAACTACTGATATAATTAAAAGCTTAAAGCAAAAGCACTCAGCAGGTTTTGATGGGGTACCATGTTCTTTGCTTTGCTTTGCTTTGCATATTACTGAGGACCTTGCTTTCAGTTTTTTTCCAAAATTATACTAGCCTTACTAAGTTTCTAAGTAACTTCAGCAAAGAAAAGTAGTAAAATTCTTGGGCATAAATTATTAAAATTTATAATCACTTGCCAGACTCTATTAGACTGGTATTTTTCATTGTCATTAAAAATTGATGGGGATGGAATTATATTGCATACTTATTACTACCTTAAGGCTTTTAATTTTTCAAAGATACTTCCACAGGCTACTGTAATACTTTTTACATAACTTCTTCATAACGTTTCGCCAATCATCCTGTTGGCTTCTTCAGAGCTTGACTGAAACAGTTTCAGCAAAAACCGACACAGGAGGAATCCAGAAGTTTTGTAAAAAATAAAACAATATACTCGTTGGAAATGTGTGTTGTAGTTATTTTTATATATTTGTAGGCCTTTTGACCTTTCGGTGATTGTTGTGAATTTGATTAAATAAAAAAATAAACAACCAAGGGTTACGTAAAATGCAAGGAAGAACGTTTTAGATTTGGTAGAAATACGCCAATAGAAAGTTGCCCTTATATCAAAGCACCAATAAAATTATATCTTTTTGATTTATGACAATCCGTAATGGTATATTATGCAACGGCAAAACGACACTTTCTGCAAGCTGCATCGGTGTATAATAAAAGGAGAGAAAATTGTATTCCCATTCTAAATTGGATTTTATGTCACGTAAATACTACGCTACACACAATTCGTTAACGGTCTGTATGTAAAACTTGTTCTCTGTTCTCTGTTGTCTACAGGTAACAGCCGGTCTGTTGTCAGTCATGATAGCTGTATTGAGAACACATCAAGACGAGTCCAGTAAAATGTTAGCATGGATTTTGAATCACATATCGTTGGCCTTTGTGACGGGCACTTTGTTCTGTGACGTGGTTAAAATGAATTTCGGCTTAGATCCAGCTATTGCCTCAGACGTGTTTTACAATTTGACCCGGGACAAACGAAAAATGTCGAATCCCTAATGACGCAAACAATCCTCCCGAGCCTTATAACGAAATTTAAATTTTTTTGTGACAACGCAATTTATTTTTGAGTTTTTATTTTCCGCGCAATTAAGTAATTTCTGTTTTTTTTTTATTTTTTACTTGTTTTGTTTTAATTTAATTTTATTTTTATTTTTCGTTTTGTTTTGTCAAGGTCCTTCAAGCCTGTCTGTGTGTGGTACTGGGATCGGCGTTAAATATCAATAAAGAGGGGCACTGTGACCAAGCCAATACAGCCAACAATTTTGTCTTGTGTGTGAATATAGTTATTATGGCAGTGAACATAGTGATAAGCACTTTTGAGGTAAAGGAAGCTATGGATGTAATGGACGTTGTCGGAAATATTACCAACATAATTACCAATGTTTAATAAAAGAAAGTCAATAAATAATGCTTAGGAGACTGCGCCCTAAAACATGCAGTCCAGAAACATTTTTGTGATTTATTAATCGTGCTGGTCAAATTTCCTAAACGTTTATCCAAAATAAATATAGCCTATATTTTTATATTTTGTTTATATCGTAGAACTCTTGAATGTACAGTAGATATTTATTTATATTTTTAGATGTTTTCATAGGACGTTTAATAAAAAAGTGAAAGCATAAAATTTGTGTTTTTTTGTTGTAGAGGTGAAAAAATTGTTAAAACGCTATACGTACCTACAGCATAAATCTAATATAGATCTGCAGCTATTTTCATTTCCTAACTCTTTCCATAATATCCTACCACACATCTATGCACGTAATTTTGTATGGTTTTCTGACCAGCGCATCCACCACATCCACGAACGAACTTTCTTCATTTCAATTCTTCAACTTTAAACTTTCTTACTTAAAAGAAAACTTACGATATAATCCCCACAAAAGCACACAGTGGACTAGTTATAACCTATATTAATATAAATTAAATATGGGATTCAATTTTTTTCTGAGTTATGCAATCCAACAACCAGCACACGTTGCCATGGCAACGGATGTTCGGAATTTTCGCGTTTTCGCTGTCATCTGTCAGTCCGGTTGGTTGTGAAAAGTCAGATGATTTGTTTATGCGCAAAAATCTAAAAAGTGTTACAATCATTGTTTAGTAATGCTCGAACCATATAGTGTCGCAGAATACCGGGAGCATTCCTTGTAGATTTGAATAACATGTTATTATTCCTTAAATAATTAAAAATAGGTCAGCAAATAAAACAATGAATCGCTTCTCCAAAGAGTCGATTTGGCATTTGTTTTATTAATACGCACTCCGCTGGTGGTGTTTAGTGTTCAGGGTAAGTTCATTAACCGTATTGTGATGATATGACTTAAATCGCCCGCAATGTTTTTGTTGAAAGTGCTGGGAGCTATTTTCCAGTGTTATCTCGATGTGTGTAAATAGTTTTGGCATTGTACTTTGTCTCCGCTGGTCAAATTCTATAATGTACATTCTTATAATTATTTCCAGTAATTCTCAATGCGTGAATCAGTGATATTTGGAAATATGCATTCTTAAATGTTGTAAGTGGACAAGAAAACATTTCCCTTCTTGGTGACTTGCATTTTTGTGTGTAAATGAATAAACACAATTCTATTCTTTTCGACTTGTCCGACAGACTTTTTTAACTGTTTGTTTAAATTTTTCTAAATGTCCACATTGTTGGATAATTTAATCTAAATGGTTTATGCTTTCGATAAATATATGCCCATTATATATTTAGACACGCTCCGTCTTATCTCCAGTACCTAATTCTTGAAAATTTTTGTTGATTAGATTAAAGTAAACAGTGGAGAACTGTGTTTAAATATTTAAAACCTCCCCAATAGTTAATATAATTCGCTTTTACATGGTTCCCATTGTTTTTAACAAGTGACAAAACTGTTAATTGTATTTTAACGTAAGATTTTCTTTTGTTTTAAGTTTTGATTCCCACTCTGTTTTTAAATTTAAATTTCATAGTATTTTGAAAAGACACTTGTTTGGATTTTATGGCCCGAACGTTACATCCTGCACTGATAACCTCGATATTTTCATTTTTATTAGGACGGAATAAATGTAAATATTATTTTAGCATACATATAAATATTTGTGCATCATTTTTAAAGTTTTATGCCGTCTTTCTTTGGAAACTACACCACATTTATACTTCTAACGGAATTCTGAAGGCGGAAATTCTCATATTTGATTTTTCAGTGTTTAGATGTAATAATTAGGTGCGAGAGCCATGTAGGGACAGGAAAATACCAATCCAGTAAAATTACGTGTTAATTATTGTGATAGCGCGAGTGTCTTTTGTTATTCACGCGACTATTTGAAGGCTGATTATTTATTTCCCATAAAAATGAAACATGTAGATCAATCTCGTTTTTATTAATGTTAAGTGATAGATCGTCAAGGGTTCAGCGATCGCGTCGACACCATTCATTTGCGAAACGCGTATAATTTGTTTCAAGTTTCTGTGACTGAAGTTTTGCAAAGTGTTTATTATCGAACGATTAATAGTTACTGAGGAATTTGCTGTGAGTGAGACTTTCGAACAAGGGAGTATAATAGGTAACGGATAATGATAATTTTATAAAAACAACAGTTTAAAAAGGAAGCTCGCATTTATAACGAAAGAGATTGGAAAAGAAAAAAATAATTTAAAGAAAAAAAAACTAATTTGAAATGTATTTCTAAAATTCTGTTTGGAGTATTAAATAATAAATAAATTAACCTAAAAAGAATACTGATCTGTGATTAAGTAATTATTTTTACATTGTTTGTAGATTGCCTGTAAACTATGACGTTTTTTGGCTCCCTAGCCCATTTTGATAAGTAGCAGTTGGTAACTATAAGGGTGCCACCCAAGCATAAGTCTTATAAAATCAAACGAACTTCATGAGATGTCATTTTGATTTCGATCCAGTATTCACTCAACTAACGGATGGAATATTATTCAATTATTCAAAATATGTGGTTTTCATTAAAAAAATATACAGGGTTCTTCCTATTATTATTATGCTGACATTTTCTCGAGTGTAGATGAAAGTGATCAAGATATAATACGGTGTAAAATTTACCAGTTATACGAGGAACAAAGCGTGCCTACATTAGATATCTTAATTAGGAATCTTGAAAAATATGGAACCGGTGTTAAATGTGGCAGAACTACCTTATGGAAGGGTATTCAACACATCGGTTTTATATTTCAAAAAATTGACAACAAGTAAGTTTTAATGGAATCTTTTAGAATTCGGAAATGGCGACTGGAATATCTAAAAAAAATTAGGATTTACCGAGAACAACAAAGGTAAATTATTTACTTGGATGAAACCTGCTTCGGCACTTATGATACCCCGGAAAAGGGTTGGAACTCAACTGATAAGTGTAAAACAAACGCGCCATCAAAAAGAGGTAAAAGAATAACTATTCTGCATGCTGGCTCTAAAGATGGTTGGATTCCAAATGGACTTTCTCTGTCTGCGAAAAATATTAAAGTTTCTTCTCTGGATTACCGTGAAGACGCCACCGCTGATTTATTTGAAAGTTGGTTTAAACACAAACTAGTTCCAAACATTCCTCCTAATAGTGTCATTGTAATGGACAATGCAAGTTATCATAGTAGACAGTTGACTAAAACTAAAGCAAAAAAAGCAATTAATTGAGGTTCTACAAAGCTTGAACCTACAAAAGGATTTCGTCTGTGATAATTATGTAAAAAATCTAGAGCATACAGTTTTAAGGCTTCCACCTTACCACTGTATATTTAATCACATTGAACATGTTTGGCACCAACTGAAATCTGCCATTCATCGTAACAATGTTTTTCCCCGCATTAACTCCAATGTCCTCAAACTTATAGAAACCGAAGATTTTAACATCCCTCCTCAAAGTTGGGCAAATTCTGTTAGACATATAGAAAAAGCAGAACAATCGTATCCATATTGCAAATAATATGGAACAAATAATAATTAGAACAGGCGATGATAGCGATAGTGATACCGACATATTATGTGAATAATTTTAAGTAATTTAAGTAGGTAATAAAAATAATTTGTAATTTTATTTTAGATTTGGACATAAATACATACATAAATAAATAAATATTGTTTAGTATCTTTCCTAACAAAACCCCAAATAATTAAATTCTAAACCAAGTACGTACCTGTTCGGCCATATTTCATTCTTACAGCTTGCCCGGGTCTTTCCTTAATTCGTATCAGTTAGTCACTTTCTTATATCTATAAATAGACTTTAGCTCATATTCGTAGCATAAGCCATTCTCCATAAAGGTCTAATAGTGAATAGCCCTGTATATATTCGCTCCTTTTTTCTATTTTGCTTTGATTGTATTTTTTTATCAACCTTTATAAATAATTATCGGTGTTCCTAACCAAATGCGTTAAATATGCTCTTTTCTATTAAGAAAATTACTCGAGTCGAAATAAACAAAAATAAGAATGAAATTTTTGGAAAAATATCAAAATCACATTTATCGTCATTAACTTAATATCGACGTTGACAGTACTTCTTCACGCTTTTCGAAAAGAGGTTTTCAGTTTATTTTTTTATTATTATTTTTTTAATTATTTGCAAATGCTCAAATTTTTCACATTTTCCACTAAAAATTAATTTTCAATTTTCACATGTTGATTTGCCTCTCGGTCAAAAATGCCTTTATTTTTCAGGAGTAATGCCTTCGTTCCGGTATCGATTTCAGTCCGAAACACCGGGCGCCAGCAAGTACTCGCAGTATGACGACGAAAAACCAAAGTTCCACAGGCCCATGCCCGCATCCCATTTCATGGGCGTTATGGGGCTCATAGTGGTCGTATTCGCCCTCGTAATAATCATAGAAAAACAATTACCGGCCGGATTAAAACTGGAAGACGAACCGAGGCATCCCGATAGTTTTATAGCGGAACGCGCCTACAACGTGTTGAAAAACTTAACCTCAATCGGACCGAGGATAGCCGGCAGTTACGAGAACGAAGTCATAGCGGTCAAAATTATAACCGGGGAGATAGAAGAGATAATGCGAGGAGCTAACAGGAACAACGTGGTGGAACTGGATATCCAGAAAGCTTCGGGAGCTTTCAATCTGGAATTTCTGGACGGAATGACCAACGTATACCGGGACGTGCAAAACATAGTCGTGAAAGTAGGGTCGAAAATCAATTCGCGTCACAGCTTGTTGATCAACTGTCATTTCGATTCCGTCGTCGACAGTCCAGGTAAACAATAGCATTCGCTATTAAAATATGAATATAGTGATTTTCCTGCAGCGTGCTGTAGGAAACTTAAACTTAAAATCAATTCGATCGAGTTAGATTAGGGGGTCGGAAGCACAGGGGTGCGAGTGCAAGTGTTGACATTTTGAGAAAAACAGAAGAATTTTTTTTTTAAATACTAGTATATTTTTGTAACTGTAATGCATTTAAATTAAGATGTTATCACTCACACCCCTTTACATTGAAGCGTTGAACTCTATTTTTTGCATTTGATTTTTATTAACACTTACATTGGGTATAAATCCTATTTGCTCTGCCTATGATTATGAGTTAGATTAAATCAAGTTTGTTCGAAAAGTTTTTCGCAAATTACAATTGAAGCGGTCAGAAACACAGGGGCGCTAGTGCAATTTTTCACATTTTGAAAAAAGGTTCAAACTATAAAAAAATCACGGGAATTTTAAAAGATTAATTTTTTTAAAATACTAGTATATTTTTGTTACTGTAATGGAATTAATTAAACGTAGAACTCTATTTTTTGCAGTTAATTTTTATTAACACTTACATTAGGCCTATGATTGATTTTTTTTGTAATGTATGTTAAGATAGTAGTTTTTAAATTCTTTTAATTTTGTTGGATTTGGGTCTAGTTTTGTACATGGTGGGCACGTCATAAGGGGAATGTACCTTTTCTCAAGATCTACTGATTTTAGAAATATATTTAAAAATATGTAAAAATGTATAGTTTGTATAATTTTAAAGTTTAATTTAAACCCTTTGAATAATTTTTTTTTTCAAAAATCAGTAGTAGCTGTACCCTGTACTTTGATGTAGAACGAATTGGCAAGTTTGCTTTGGTTAAATGACATTAAATTAATTATTTTAAAACTGCTCCTTTTTAGGTGGCAGTGACGATGGCGCCAGCTGTGCCGTCATGTTAGAAATATTGCGGGTGCTCGTGAGATCGGAAAAAATTTTGAGGCACAATATCATTTTTTTGTTTAACGGTGGCGAAGAAAATTTTATGCCCGCCTCTCACGGCTTCATTACTCAACACAAGTGGGCGAAAGAGGTAAACACGTGTGAGTTACGGGTTGCGAGTTATATACAGGTCGTCTCGAAGTTTAATATTAGCTTTTACCTCACATAAACATGTATTGATAACACAGGGCTACAGTGATTTTGATGTTTGTATATTTTTGGGGCCCCTTTTTTTTTTCAAAAAACGCCATATTTTTGATCCAGCATGTCATTTTTTTATAGCACTCTATATCTTAACAATGTTATTTTATTATTATACATACTTATGACATGAATATATTTGCTCCATGTTAGGCTTGATTTTTATGAAATTAAATGTGATACGGCAACACCGGATAATATTAGATTTCTCTGCAAATCGTCAATACAGCGTCGTAACCTGCTTATGCGCAGTTTGGTCGTGTTGTGTTCGCTGGTGTTGTCTTCGTTGTTGCGTACTTCTACTATAACGTATAAATATGGATAGAAGACATTGTGTGAACAATCAAAGTAACTTTTGCTATATCTTTGATGTTTATGTCGTAGTAAAGCAAAGGCAACCTGTAAGTTCTTTTGTTAAAAATATACGCTTATTTTGGTGTAAAAATTGTAGACCAAGACAAGTCCTGATCCTGATACTGTTTGTTCTGTTTGCGTTGAAGCATTAAAAAACTGGTGGTGTCTCGATAGTATGGCGAGAGCTCAGAAGTCACAGTGATGATCGTTATTTTTCGTGTAATGTTCAAGGATTCAACAGAAAAAATAAGATACGACAAATTGTGTATACGAATCTTGACCCTACTAGTCGACTAGATCCTCATGGACCAGATCTACCGATACCCATCAACCCAAAAGAACTACAAAACGTCATATGGTCAGAATCAGAGATATCTCAGATTTCAGAGAGCTTGAAGTGTTTAATCAGAGCGGATTAAAATATTTAATTAGAGATTTGCACCTTCCAAAGGATGTATCCGAATTGTTAGCGTGTAGACTTGGCGTCACATCAACCGGGATCGCGAAAAAGAGTTATGTCAATATTTTACGCAGGAAGGACCGCTAGTGTGACAATATTTCTGACTTAGTTTAGAAAATAGATAAAGAAAAATGGCGCCTATTTATTGACTCAAGTAAGCATAGTTTAAAAGATGTTTTACTACCCAATGGTAAAGGACTTCTTTTGAAGAAAATAAACTAACAACATCAGCTTTGTGGTGACCCTGAAGGGGGGTTATACAAAAGTTCCGTGCTTTATTTGTGAGTGCGATAGTCGGTAAAGAGATAGACATTGAACTCAAATAGAATGGCCCTTTAGAACAAGCCTTACATCTGGTTACAAAAATGTTTACAAGAGATAACCGACCCCAAAAAAGTTGTACTGTCTTTTCTTCATATCAAACTTGGCTTGCCAAGATTTAGAAAGTATTTTTCTTGGGCCACAGATAAGAACATTACACAAAAACAAGGATTTTCCAGCCACAATGACCAATGTCGAGAAGAACGCTTGAGGTTTCATTTAAGGAAGTAATTGCTAAGTTTCTTGGGAACTCTAATGGCAAAAACGACGAAAGTATTGTCCAAAATATGTTACAGTACTTCCATTGTCTAGGAGTTTGAAAGTACATTTCCTGTTTTCACACTTGAACTATTGTCTTGAAAATCTTGGAGCGGTTAGCAAGGAGAAAGGTTTCACCAGGACATTAAGGAAGATGGTGTACTACTGGATTAGGATTTTACTTTTTTACTGAATAAAAAATAAATAATTTTAGAAATATCGTGTTTTTTTCCTTTAATATTAAAAAAAGAACCTTTCGTGATACAAATAAATGTACAGAATTTTTGAAAACAATCTAGCAAAAATTTTATAAAATCGGTTTTTAAAATAAAAACATCTGTCAAGAAGTTTAATTTTGTACAGCTGTGATAATTGCTTCCTAAGTGAGCAATTAAGGTTTTCCTTAATAAGTCGGATGTTCCGATTCCTTATAGTTCTGTATGGATATAAAGAACGTATAATGTAATTGGAATGAAAATTTTTAGGTTAGGGCCTTTATAAACTTGGAGGCGTGCGGGGCGGGCGGTCGGGAGGTGCTATTTCAAGCCGGACCTAACCACCCCTGGATTTTGGAAACGTATTCCGAAGAAGTGCCTTATCCCTATGCTTCTTCCTTGGCTCAAGAGATTTTTCAAAGCGGCGTGATCCCCGGTGATACGGATTACCGCATATTTCGCGATTTCGGAAACATATCCGGTAGGTTAACTTGTCGATTTAAAAGTTTTTTCGACACATCCTTAAAAAAATAATTGGCACATAATTATTGTCAAAATCGGTACTTGTAAAGAGTTCCCATTCCATATAGTACAAAGACATATATAGTATGGGCCGTGGATATCCGCATGTACCGGGTGGCCCATTAATTAATAAACCGTTAGTCCTGCAACTTAGAAAAAAAAATTATAGGTAAAAGAAAATGCTGAAAATTATTTCCAAGTTCATAAAATAGCCGATAGGGAACATAACCTCTACTGTAAAACATATGAAACGGGGTTTCTCAAAAATATTCCAAATTAACCTGTATTAAAATTAATCTTAAGTCTAGATAAGGACACTTTTTTTGTTTGAACAATTTTTTTCTATCTTTAAAGATAGGGGAAGCGTCAAATATTGGTTTAGAAAAAATTGAATCATTTTTTTTTTGGCTAATCCGATTTCGACGAACTTAGTTTAGTTTCAAAGAGTAGTTATAGGAGCTGTTTTTATGATATTTTCGAAAATTTCAAATATAATGGTATAAATATTTTTTTCTAGGACGAAAGAGCGTAAAAAAAAACGCAGGAAGTAGTGGATAATAAGCTCTTTAAGTCCTGTTAGGTAAAATCATTTACAGGTAAAATAAAAAATCGATTTGTGGCTGTACGATCACACTTATCGACTTAAAACGCGAGTAACAATTTTGCCATATCAGTTTAAATAAATAAAATACAGGGAAAATAAAAAAAATGTTCTAGGTAAAGTGCCCTCTAGCGATAAATTTTTGAAACACTTTTATTTTGTAACGTTGACTTTTATTATATCAGTTAAGTCACTGCTTTAAAAATAAAATCAAAAAAAAATAATTTTGACTACGTACCGTTATTCTACCACGTTGAATCTTTCCTCCATGTTTCCGAGCTCAATTTCCGAACAACTTGTATATGTGATCGACACAATATTTGTTGTATAGAGAACTTGACGATCACCTATTCTAGGTTTGGATTTCGCTTGGTCGGCCAACGGTTACGTCTACCACACGAAATTCGACACCATCGAACAAATACCCCTGGGTTCGCTGCAGCGAACCGGAGACAATATACTAGCGCTGGCCAAAGGTATGGCCCAGGGACATCAATTGGCCAACGTGGAACAATACAGGGCCGGGAACTTGGTATTCTTCGATTTTCTCGGCGCCTTCGTGATCCGATGGCCCATGGCGACCGCCGACGTTATAAATACGTTGTCTGTGATATTTTCGTTTTACTGCGTTTTCAAAAACGCGGAGGAAGCCAAACTGCACGAGAGTAAGCAATTAAATAAAACAAAATTTCACACTCCAACCTTTTCGCTTTGCGTCTTTTTTTTTTTAAACAGCTACTTCGTTTTTTTAACGAATTATTCCCGCATGACATCCAAAATATAAGGGAAACTGACAGTAGAGTTTCTTATCAAAGTCATACAAGGGATGGTGTTACAACTAAAGACCTTTTACGAAATGCCGGTAGGAACACTTTTTCTTGTTGAGTATGGTGCTAACTTTAAGTTATCAAAAAATATAGGAAGGATATTTCCTCAACCAAGAAAGAGGTGGATGGACGCTCTGGATTAAACAGGTCTTAATAGGAATAATAAGAAGATTCATCTATATTATATGCGTTTTTATAAACCAGCCTTCAATTTATCTTGATAACATTTTAATTGGCTGTAACTTTTTTGTTTTTGGAGATATCGAGGTAAACAAGTGTATAGTGTAGTATAAAACAGTAAGGTATAGTATAAAACAAATATATATCTTTTTAAATAAAACACCCTGTATATTATAAATATTTAGTCCACTCGTTTTTGACAAATAAAAATATGTTTGACATATAAGTAAACAACGTCGGTATATGCTTCAGGTATTCTTTCTGAATGATAAAAGCGCAAACGCAGCTCGTCGTCAGTATATTAGACTTTATCCAGAGCGCCGAGCTCTATCAAAACAGATATTTCCAAGAATGGCAACGAAATTTGCAGAAAACGGTAACATATTATATATTATATACATTATAAATGCTAAAGTGGTATGCCAAAATCATAATGTTTTAAATAAAGAAAATAAGGCAAACATATTAGGATTATACGAAGCACATCCATTTTCCTGTATTAGTAGAGTATATGAAGAGAGGGATATTTCTTCGGGATCAATACACTCAGTTTTGAAAGAATATAAGGCATTTAAATTTCGTAACATTCAAAAGCTCAGCGCAGAACAAGCAAAGATCAGAAATTAACATGGAACATCCCAGGGGTTCGATAAGGAACGGCGGAACTATGGATTGGGCAGCCAACAGGCCCGACTTAGCTTTAATGGATTTTTTTCTTTTGAGGATACATAAAAATCGCGTGCACAGGACTGCTCGTAATAATGTCGTGGAACTTCGGCAAAGGATTTCAGAGGCAATCAATTGGTTAAGAGACAATCCGGAAACGTTACTAAATGCAAGACATCATACACTTGGAGTGTATGAGAAATGTGTTCAGCAAAATGGTAAATCATATACAGCAAGTATTTAAAATAGTTAAAGATTTTTTTTACTTTAGTTGTAATTCTTAGTGTTTTTATTCTACTTTATTTTGTAAATAATTATTGTTGTTGCAGTCATTCACGGCACTCTTGGAAATTGTATAAAAATTGCCTATTTTTGCCGATTTCTCAAAAACGAGTGCACTAAAATATAATCATGTAACGGAATTCCAATATTCCGTTAAACATAATTAAATATACAGGCTTTTATGTCGGAAAATTGATAGTGTTTCGTTTTATACGCCATTTGGAAAATAACTTGGCTCCTAACCCTACATTTTGTTTTTTTGTTTACCTTGATATCTCTAAAGACAATTAAAATGCTATCAAGATAAATTGAACGCACGGTATATGAAACACAAAATTCTGTGCATTCGAGTTTAAACGCGAACCTTTTGAAGGCGTAATTCTCGAATACAAATTCAACCAATAATTCCCTAGTGTTGGCATGAGTCCATATACTTTCTGGAGAGTGTTTTGATGAATTTATAGAGACGATTGATTTTTCGACAAAGCAGCGACTCTGTCAAATATTTATGTAATAATATACCTATTTTGAAATTTTTATCTCACTCATTTTTTCAATTATGCTAAAAGTCTGTGTTGTTGCTGTATAACTAGGTGGTATAGATTTTTTGATTTTCCTTTTATTTTGCCAGTTCTTTATTGCTTCAATTCTCATTGTATCTAGTAAGCTGATATTTTTACAATTACATCTGTAAAATTTTAAGCCTCTTCCATTTTATTAATCTGCCTGTGACAAAAAAAAGCAACGTTTTTTTTCCACAATGACACAACAAACACTCGATAACTTTTAAACGGCTTGAGATAGCGATTTGAAATTTGTAAGGGTTAATATAAATGGCTTAACCTATATTTTTTGCATTTTTGCAACATTTTGACACCAAAATTTTCAAAATCCGTTACAATATAAGCCCACAGGAAGGATAAAAACCACATAAGTAAATACAATTTCATAAACACAAAATATTACTTAGGTGGCTTTGCTTCTATTCATTATTAATTGTCAGGTCGGTAAGATTACAATTGCAGAAGAAGCTCTTGACAAGCCCATGGGATGAAAAGAAAAACAGATTAATATTTAAAAAAGAAGAAGATAAAATTCAAAATTTACAAACTGTCAGAATTTTCAATCATGCCGACTTGATGATGATTAGAAGCAAACCCACCTAAGTAATATTTTGTTAAAAATAAAAATAAAAGTAAAAATAGATTTACTTATCAGGTTTTTTCCTTCCTGTGAACTTATTTTTTTGATGGATTTTGAAAATGTTGGTGTCAAAATGTTGCAAAAAAAGTACCGGTTTTAAAAAGTTTTTGTTTTCACTAGGGTGCTATTTGAAAAATCTAGGGTTATCCTAAAAAATTAATCGTTCATTACATTAAATGCTATTTGCCATTAGACAAGTAAAGAAAAGGTTCATTTACAATTTTTCCCATGATCAGGTGACCCGGTAAATAGTATTTAGACACAATTTGCAAAAATTAAATATAAACTTAAAAAATAAAAAGGAAAATGAGAAAAATCGTAGAATGGTCTCCTGAATCCAAAAAGGCAAAAAAATATAGGTTGTGCCATTTAAAATTCGAAAGTTACTGTCGCTTCCTCTCAAACTGGAAGTCCAACCATTGACTACGTATTGTCAAAAGAATGGACATTCAGCCTGTATTAACCCTTCCAAATTTTAAATCGCTATCTCAAACCGTATAAAAATTATAGAGTGTTCCCACTTTCTTGCGTCACCCGGTATATCTACGTCGTATCTAGGTTTATACATGAAGACTTACGCGAGGAAACTGCTTTTCTGCGGTTCGGCCATTGTGGCCTCTTGGGTGTTGTCGGTCGCGTTCGGACTCCTGACCGCCGCCCTCATCAATGGTTTGGGTCGCAGCATGAGCTGGTACTGCCGACCCCTTTGGGCTTTTTTTTTGTATGTGATACCTTCCCTTGTGATTTCGTTGATTACGATCTTACTACACGCCAAATATTACAATAAGGTAATTCATCGGTCGGTTTACCTCGTCTTCACTTTTTATTTTGATCCGTCGAATTTTTTTCAGGACTTGGAGCTGTCGCCGTGGACGGTATTCCAGTTGTACTACGACGCATATCAAACGATTTGGACTTTAATTCTATTCGTTGGAATTGTTTTACGAATAAGGTCTAGTTTTATAGCTCTCACTTGGGTATTTTTCGCTTCCCTGGGGAATATCTTGAAGACGCTTCTGTTTGGACGGTGGAGGGGTAAGTGGTTTGGTTCACTCCTGTTGTTTGCCGGTTCAGGTCCAGCGTTTTCCATAAATAACAATTTAACTCTTGAAACTTCAATATTTATTGGAAAATTTAAATCATAATGTATTGTGTTAAGGTGTCGTATCTCCTAAACTACACCGGTTACGCCCCCTAGCGAGTAACCATGCCATCTTAACCTTTTAAAAGTCTGCGAAGTCTCTGCTTTCTAGGGCTAAGCTTCGTTCCAATAATTTTTAATTAGTACTTTAGAATGCTGTGGACGGATCGATTCAATGTTTTGGGGGATTTTAACAAACCGGGTTTCCTTCCATCAAACTCATCTTACGTGTGACAAGTCTAATACATATTGACACCCCTAGAGTGCTGCGCTTTTTTATGATAATGATAACTGAAAATGACAAAATAAATGCGAAAATATTACTTTTTTCGTGGAAATATAGCGAAATGACATATATAATCTGTTCTATTTTGCAATATTATTATAAAATTTTGCTATATCAGTCTAAAATAATAAAAAAATGTTCTAGGTAAAGTGCCCTCTAGATTTCTTAAACACTTTTATTTTGTATCGATGTGTTAAAAGTAAAATTGAAAAAATGATTTTTGACAAGCTATAACTCGGGAAATGTTACAATTTCGAATTTTACTGCCATTATTTTTCTACGTTGAAGTTTCCGTACTCATTTTCCGAACACTCTATATCGATTTTTATTATTAGACTATAAATTAAAAAAAAAAACACGACGAAAATGATTTTTTTAATTTTTAGATTCGAAATGGATTCTGCTACACATTTTGGTGGTCGGACTGCCGTTCGTCCAGTCGTTTTACCTGATCATAGGTGCGTTATACTTGTTCATACCGATAATGGGTAGGGCCGGTGCCGGGAGTCACGCGGAGTTTCTCATAGCCGTGATGGTTAGCGTGCTATTCGCGATGCTGTTCAGCTTTGCGGTCCCGCTAATACTACTAGTCAAAAAAGTCGATAGGATTTTTAGCCTGCTCATCGGACTGTTCCTAATATCGCTGGCTTTTCTGATACTAACCCCGCTCGGATTCCCTTATTCGGGCGATCCGAACGTTTTGGCGCCCCAGCGTTTCATGATGGCCGTAAGTCGTAGCCCGTAAGCGAATTGTTTACTCGTCAAAATGTCGGATAGAGGGAGAAAAAGTTGTAAACCTTCGAACGGAATTTGAAACTGATTATAACCCACACAAAGTGTCTCGAATTAATTCACAAGATTTTTCACCTAAAAATTATGAAAAATAGATCTTTAAAATTTTGTCTTTATTGGCCGTCATTCGATCTACTGTTCTACATAATAAAATTTTCACAGTTCACACTCAAAATATTCCTTTTTTTTCTTTCACCTGGTAATAAAATGTTCACAATTCACACTCTAAATATTACATTTTTTTTCTCTTATCTTAAAATTATGAACATAACATAAAATTTTCAAAATTCATACTCAAAATATTCGTTTGTTTCACCTGATAATAAAATGTTCACAATTCACGCTCTAAATATTACCTTTTTTCTTCTCTTATCTGCCAGTTTAGGACATATTTTACACCTAAAGATTATGAAAAATAGATCTTTAAAATTTTATCTTTATTGGTCAACATTCGGTCTATGATTCTACATAATAAAATTTTCACAATTCACACTTTAAATATTCCTTTTTTTGTCTTATCTGCCAACCTAGAACCTTAAAATACATTAAAAAATTATGAACATAACATAAATTTTTCACAATTCATACTCAAAATATTCCTTTTTTTTTCTTTCACCTGATAATAACATGTTCACAATTCAAACTCTAAATATTACTTTTTTCTTTTCTTATCTGTCAGCCTAGGACTCCAAAATACATGAGTTGATAAATTGAAATTAATTAAAAATATTTTACACCTAAAAATTATGAAAAATAGATCTTTAAAATTTTGTCTTTATTGGTCATCATTCGATCTACTATTCTACATAATAAAATTTTCACAATTCACACTTTAAATATTCCTTTTTTGTTCTCTGATCTAACAGCCTAGAATTTTAGGATACATTAAAAAAAATATAAACATAACATAAAATTTTCACAATTCACACTCAAAATATCCCTTTTTTTTTCGCCTGATAGTAAAATGTTCACAATTCACACTCTAAATATTACAATATTACTTTTTTCTTTTCTTATCTAAAAATATATGAGTTGATAAATTGAAATTAATTAACAAGATTTTTCACCTAGAAATTATAAAAAAGATCTTTAAAATTTTATCTTCATCGGTCAACATTCGATCTACTATTCTACATAATAAAATTTTCACAATTTATACTCAAAATATTCCTTTTTTTTCTCTTATCTGCCAGCTTAGAACTTTAAGATACATTAAAAAAATTATGAACATAACATAAAATTTACACAATTCATACTCAAAATATTCCCTTTTTTTTTCTTTCACCGTATAATAAAATGTTTACAATTCACACTCCAAATATTACTTTTTTCTTCTTTTATCTGACAGCCTAGAACTTTAAAATACATGAGGTGATACACTAAAATTATCGCATAGTTCGCTGGCCTTCGGTATCCAAAAATTTCGAAATTTTGTAATTTTTTTCTACAAAAATTTTTTATTTTCTCGCGCTAACGATTCCACGTTATCGCGCAGCATACCAAACGAACGTTCCACGACGTTTCTGGTGCCGTGGTTAACGAGTCCGGCGGTTATTGGATAGCGGACATGGACGTCAACAGTCCGCACACGGTCGATAGGCACGTGCCCTTAATGAGAACGGCGAAATTGGTACGGGAAGAGTGCGACCGGTATTTGTATTGCGGGTTGCCTTATCTGGTGCCGGTTTTGACGATGATCTGGAAAACGCATTGGGTTCCCGGACCGGAACCCGTGATCCTCACTCCCGTCAGCTTGAACGTGAAACGGCAGAAAACTCCCGCTGGGCAAAGGATATTCTTGGAGGTGCATGGTGAGTCTGCAATTATTTCTTTTCCCACGCTAAATTGTTGAAGTTGCATATCCCGATTGTTGATTACGGAAAAGAAGAAGATTTTTTTGTACACAAATGAAAAGGTCTTGTATAGATCTCTTACATACAATTTTAAGTAAAATATCATAATTAATAAAAAAGAATACTTATATAGAAAAGTCAAAGAGATCAATGCTATAAGAAATAGATTAACCTAAAAACTTAATTCTCTTATCCTATTCTTAAATCATTTATTATTTTTCTTTTGGGTTTCGGTGATAATTCGATATAACCTGATTCAACCCATAGGGACAAATTTTTAAAAGGATTGAAGTCTTATTTCTTTTTTCTGTAATAATACTTAATTTATCTTCTTTTATTAAGCATTAAGCATCTTTTGATATTTTGACAGCCACCTACAGAGTTAATTTTGAAAGATATATTTCCTTTCAATTTCCTATTAATACACGAGGTAATAAAAACGATATTAAGTCTTTCTCTCGTCACTTGTAAACTTTCAGGCCTATTATAATGAATTTGATTTTTTACGTATCCCCACAAAAAACGTCACAAGGATACAGGTCGGGGCTGTTGGCAGGTCTTTTGATAATTCCATGTCTATATTTATTATTTAGATAATCGATAACCGATTGGACATTATGTAAAGGTGCGCCATCTTGATGCCAAATTAAAGTTAAATAATTCCTAAGTGGCACATTTTCTGTTCTATTACTGTTGTACAGAAATTTAAATATCGTTCAGGGATCCTTCGTATATAATTGGTCAGACGACCATTTTGTTCAACATACCACACCTGAGGTCCGTCCTTGAATTTTCACTGCCTGCGTTTTGTGTGGATTATTGGTGGATCAAAAATGTTTCTTTTTCCTATTAAATACACCTGCTCTTGTGATCGAAGCGTCATCCGTAAAAATTATTTTGTTTAGAAGATGACCATCTATACGTTTCAGTGCAAAATTCTAGCATCCGGCAACGTCAGGTGTAGGTAGAATATTCAGGATTCTCTAAAAAATATGAAATGTAAAAATCAGGAAAGTAGAACTCAAAATCATGTCAAGTGTCGTAATCATATAATAATTTACCTCGAAAGTAAAGTAATATATTGAGGTCTTCATCAAAATTTTCTTCTATTATCCTGGTCTTCTGTATGACACTCTTTCGGTCCTCAAATTGTTTAATCACATTCTCTCTCTACCGGATATATTTGTCGATAGTCTCTTTTAACCCTTGCAACGTTATGTCCTTTTGAATAATATAATTTTATTATTTGGCATTTTTCTTCCTCAGCATAACATAAATAGAATGGTTGCTATCAAGGCAGACTTGACCATTTTTAAACAATATGGCTATTGTCCAGTAATCGAATGATAATTATTTTTAAACTGTAATTTCAATAAACTATATGTTTTTGAAATCAGGAAAAAAGGTCTATTTAAACCAATAATATATAGGACATTCCATTTAACAAAAATGATGTTGCTATCATTTTGACAGCTTGCGATCGTCGTTTGTTGTTTTTTTTTGACATTTGCTAAAGATAAAAAATCTTTCCTTTTTTTATATTTCTAAATTAACCCAGTAAATGGGTGTCAGAATATAATGAAACGCGATAATTGAATTACTTGATACACTTGTTTAAGGTCCGACGCACATAGGAGTCATGTTCTCCCCGGTCAGAGGGGTTAAAATATTAAACTGGAGCTTGCCCCCGGACCATCCTTTGGCAGGTCCGTCATGGCAAGGAAGGGATACTTATTTCATTTATTACGCTTACGGATTAGATCCAGTGCCTTTAAATTTTTCGATAGATTTTGAAGTAAGTGACCGAGAGGAAATTCAAATAAGGACGAGTCAGTGAGCCGCGCGTTACTTTTAGATTCCTCCGGATCATATTGGTCCGGTCATGGATTTGGCGGTCACGTCGCATTACTTGTTCGGTAAGGGGAAGACGTCCAAGCACCTCAGCGATCTCGTGGTCCAGTTCCCATCTTGGTCGGCCGTGACGTATTGGACCGCCTCCTACGAGTCCTGGGTAGTTTGATCAAAAATAGGGTGCAATTTCGATATTTAGCCGCGTTCGTTACACAAAGTTGCCGTAAATAATATTCGGTTGTAGTCCGCTTGTACTTTCTCGGAATGTTCTTCTATATAATACGGCTTACGCGCTTTCGTATATTAAATACTTGAGGTTACCGTAATTTAGAAGCTCAGTTTTGCCTAGAATTCAACTACTCCTGCTGGCTATTTGAACTTGCCGGATATTATTTACTGCGATTAGAGGTTAGAATTTGTTGAATTAGTTTTAGTTTATTTATTTTATTCGACGATTTATTTTTTGTATTTCGGCCATATCATTAAAACGTTTGACGAATTATTGTGTATTTTTTTAAATATTTTACCATGTGGGTTGGTGTCCCAATGGGAGAAATACAAATTTACCAGGAGTTACCTAAGAAAAGGGAATGTAAAATAATAACAAGAAAATTGTAGCTCTCGACACAGTTCTAACCAAATTATCTAATCTTTTGCCGTTTTTCAATTATGACCCAAAAAAAAAACAATTTTTTCAGGATTTTTTAGATTTCCTCCCATAAAACAACGCATCCCGAAATAGAGGTTATAGTCCCGTATCTTCCACTTTTCCTGGTGCATGAATTTTTCCAATAAAGTAAATGGTTTTCTGAAAGTATGCGTTAATAGTAAATATAAAATTTGGAGCTCTTGATGCAATCTGTGATACCGTTTGACCCAATTAGCCATCTTTTTTTCGCGAATTTTGATTTACGGCAAATTATTTGTTATGAAAAGGAAAAATTTTTGGTGTCGTTTAGATGTTTTTCTATAAGCCAAAATATCCAGTCTTTTAGATTTGTGACCATAATTAAAACACCCTGCAAATAACCGAAAAAATGCATGAATCAAAAGTTATAATCACGGTTGCAAAATTTTGCCGATCGGATGAATGATTTTGAAGGGAACATGTTTTTTTGGAAGCCAAAATAACAAAAAAACACCTAGCCTAAATTTGATTGCAACCAACCTTTACTGTTTAGATGTGGGTACGGACTTTTACTTCTTCGCTAAATTTGAAGACGATATCCGCAAATTTAATACACTTATAATTATTACAATACAATTTTCAATAATCAGGGGACCAATTTTTCAGTTTTTTTTTTTTAAATTGCGGCCCACCCTTTACATTTTTAAAAAATTGTCACGAATGAAAGTTTATGGGCCCGAATCATCCGCGTCTTTTCCTCCAAGAATTTTTTCGGTCCCATTAACGGTTTTCGAGAAATTATCTTTTCCTTAGACCCTTGAAAAAAAAATCGATTTTTCGAAGGTAATAACAATTATTATTATTTAACGTTTTTTAACCTAATACGGAAAAAAGTCGCGAAAAATAAATAAACTAATACAAAGCGGCCTCAACAGAAATTATAGAAATTACATGAAGAGAAGAACGGAAATCAAATAGGATATAGAAAAGAGAGGATAAAATGTTATGCAGAGCGAAAAACATTTAAAACTGTATCGAAGCAATAAGCTAGAATTTTAAATTTGGTGGAAAATATAATTCCGCGCAAAGTCTACCTGATAATTATTGTTCTTGGAAAAAAATATTTCCTCGAATTTTCACCAAAAATACGACGAGACACGAAAAAGTCGTAAGCCATGCAGTAAATGTCAGCCGTAGGTTGAACCTTACTAGATGTAAGCTCGTTTACGTGACAATAGTGCGTTGATCAGCGATTCAAAATTCTTTAAGTGTATTTCAAAAATATTGTGCAGGTAGCCTATTCTGAAGAATTTTTCGATTTTGAAAATTTCTTTTAACAAGTTCACTCCCAATTACAGAAACTAATAATGAAATCACAAGAAAGCTAATTATTCACACACGTACTCTAAGCAGTTATAAGCTCTGCGCGTGAAGCAAAAAACAGTTAACAACCTCACGAAATGTATCCGTTATTAATATCGCAATATTGATATTATTCATTTGTAGGCCGACGTCTGACTTCAGTTTTGAGGAGATAAAATTTTACTATGCTTAAAAGCCGCACAGAGTTCACAGCAACATGCAAAAGCCCATGTAGAAATTTTAAAGAATTAATGACCCACCTAACCTGCCTAAAAGTATTTGATGGTCAAATTCTCTATATTACCTTCCTAAAAACTAATTTGAATCTCATGTATGAATAGTATAGATATCTAACCGAATGCTCTTGACGCTTATAATACTAATTGCACAATATGAGGTATAAAAGTAAATCTGGATTGTAAGACAATCCCCAAGCCTTTAACTTCACTAATCGATTTAATACAGTTCCATTTATTACACTTAGAAACATTTAAACCAAATAGACAGGCCCAGACACCATTCTGATATGACATTTTTAAATCATCAGCATATACTAATTTATTACAATTCAACTTACCAATTACATCTTCAATAAATAATAATAATAATAATAATAAAGACAATAAAAAGTAGAGGTCCTAAATTTGACCCTTGTGGTACCCCAACTGATTTCACATGATATAGGTATATCGAGAACTACTGATCGTACAAAAATTACTTCTGGGGAAATTTATTTCAACCGCCTTTTGATTGTGGATTCCTTCTAAAAAGCCAAAAGCGCAACCAACCTCCTAAACTTATATCATGAAAATCCCTAGTTGCCCGCCCTCTGGCGTTACACCGTAAAATTAACAAAAATAATGCAACAAAGATTTAAACGTGCGCACGCTATTCAAAAATTAGTTTAAAATATATTACAACAACGTGAGATGAAATACTACTATTTGATCAAATTCTATTTGAAAATCCACATATACTACCTCTGTCTGCCCTAAATCATCGATTGATGCGCATAAATATTGAGTCAACATTGCCAGATTGCTTGTGAACGATTGATTTAAAACAAAACCGTGTTGCCCAAATTATTCTTAAGACTACAATAAATGCAGTCACAAACTGTAGTTTCCAAGAGTTTGCCAAAGAATTGATATTGGCCGATAATTTTCAATTACACTCGCGTCATCTTTTTATAACAAACGACGTCTAGTCTTTAAATAGACTTGTTATTTCAATGTGTTAATGAAATAGTCGTTATTTTTATTTGCTACTCCTAGAACGAAAGCAACTTCACATAGATTACATAAACTAACCAAAATTGCTACAATTTTCATTCATTCATCCTCCCTTCTTGCTGCTATTCATAGGGGGCGTTTGAGTGCCGATATATAATTATTTTTATCCTAACATTCCATATAGTTGATACACGAACAACTCTAGTGAAAGAAAATTTTTAACGCTTTGAATTTGATATTGATTTCTTTTTAAATCGAAAATATCAGATTAACTCCGAAACATGGGCGTTAATTATTCACTTCAAATGCTCGTTGATAATCAAAACGGTGCTTACAAAATGTAATAAAATTACTTATATTGATAAAAAATGTATGACACACACACACACACACACACACACACACACACACACACACACACACACACACACACACACACACACACACACACACACACACACACACACACACACACACACACACACACACACACACACACACACACACACACACACACACACACACACACACACACACACACACACACACACACACACACACACACACACACACACACACACACACACACACACACACACACACACACACACACACACACACACACACACACACACACACACACACACACACACACACACACACACACACACACACACACACACACACACACACACACACACACACACACACACACACACACACACACACACACACACACACACACACACACACACACACACACACACACACACACACACACACACACACACACACACACACACACACACACACACACACACACACACACACACACACACACACACACACACACACACACACACACACACACACACACACACACACACACACACACACACACACACACACACACACACACACACACACACACACACACACACACACACACACACACACACACACACACACACACACACACACACACACACACACACACACACACACACACACACACACACACACACACACACACACACACACACACACACACACACACACACACACACACACACACACACACACACACACACACACACACACACACACACACACACACACACACACACACACACACACACACACACACACACACACACACACACACACACACACACACACACACACACACACACACACACACACACACACACACACACACACACACACACACACACACACACACACACACACACACACACACACACACACACACACAGTGTAGTTCAACAATTAAGAGATGCAAGGTATGTTAATATTAACTCCCTGTATATTTGAAAAATGTCCAGTACACTTCCAAATGTCTGAAATTTGAAAATAAAGTTATACTTAACCTGGTTTGCAGATCGGAAAATAAAATTTTCTATTACGAAAGCTTTCTGCATTATTTATCGCCGGTTAGTGCTAAAGTGTTAATGGATGGCGCAAACCGTTGATTAGAATCTCGCCGTAGTCGCCTCAATGTCATTTTTAAAATGACGTCGTGTGACGAAGTATATTCCTGTATCCACCATCGGGCAAGTCCAATACGCATTTATTAATCCCTGCTGCCGATTGGGTTATGTTCCATAAAGTTCAAATCTTGCAGTTTTCTAAAATAATAAATAAACCATTTTTTAATCCCATATTCATATCCTGTACCTATCCCTTATTTTTAATGATCACAACAATAAAAAAAAACATATGGGAAGGGATTTAATATTAGGAAAGTTGAATATTTTTGGCTAATCCGATTTCGACGTATTTAGTTTTGTTTTAAAGAGGAGCATATCAATATCACGATATTAATTCTCTTACCAGTCGGCAGGCGGCCCTTCATATCAAAACCAGCTATTTTTATGATTTTCTCGAATATTTCAAATCTGATGGTATAAATATTTTTTGCTACGATGAAAGAGAGATACAAGTAATAATAATAATAATAATAATAATAATAATAATAATAATAATTTGCCTTTATTGTTGTATATTGTTATATACAAATATACAGTAGAGAAGAGGCGAAGTCTAGCAAAAGCTACTCCATTTAACCTCTTAAATGTTTTGCGGCTCTGTAAACAAGAGAGTTGATAACCGATGATTTTTGAGCTGGATGGTGATATGAACATGCATTAAGGTAAGGTCTGTGTGCCTAGGTTTTCTGTAAACACAATGACCCAATGTTAAGTCTGATTTTCTATTGATAAAAATATCTAAGAATGGAAGGTTATTATTAGTTTCCAACTCAATGGTAAAACGTATGTTAGGGTGTATAGAGTTTAAAT